TTGCGAATTACGGGATCTTTGACGAATGAACCTTAGTTTTGAGTGAGTGAGTTGAGTTTTACGCCGCACTCAGCAATATTCCAGCTATATGGCGGCGGTCTGTAAATAATCGAGTCTGGACCAGACAATCCAGTGATCAACAGCATGAGCATCGATCTGCGAAATTGGGAACTGATGACTCTTAGTTGTGAACTGGACAGGCGCAAATGAACATCCACGAATACAATGTATGATGTTGGTGTCCTCTCGGGCCGTCTCCGGGAGGGCGTGTTATTGGCGTCGTCATCGGTTTTATATGCTACTTCCCGTCTCAGCATGCTCTCTTAATTACTGCGGAAGTATGACCATTAATGAAGCCAGTATTAAAAAGTTTGTTAGTGTTGACATCCGACGGTCTTCGTTAGGACGTAATGAAGGACAGTACGGCAAGCTGACACCGAGTGGAGTGTTGCCGCGACCTGTTGTAACGTATTGATCCACACTGGGGCAGTGGTACCCATGGGTTGATTAACACAATATCTATCTCCTTTAATCGATCTCTTTGCATGTGAATTTTGTTCAATAGTTGGATACAAGATATTTAGTGATGATGAGTGTCGTCCAGAGCCTGTCTAGGTGTTCCTGACGTAACCATGACAACACATGGGCGTGGTGACTCTAAAACCATGTGATACCTCTTATAGCTTTACACAGGTAGATGTATTTATGATTGCAGGTACGTGGCGAGAGATGGTACACAATACCCTGGGCTTGTCGTAATCACAAGGACATTTTAGGGCCGCTTCTTACAATTGAAGGGCGTGCGATTAGTGTCACAGTCGGACAAATGTCACGGGCAGCAAAACAGCTCCAGAGTCACATTTAGTTTACATTTCGATGGTGAACGATAACAGCAATACAAGTATCAGTGCTGATCCCCGTGTAGCATGGCGATCCATCATAAACTGTCCATATAACACAACAGGTCACAGCTGCGTCCATGACTTTACACATAAGCGGCAGCGGTAAGTTGTTTCAGTTGAAAGACGGCTTGAACAGATGCGTCAAAAGCTTGGTTCTGAAAATACGAAGCATTGGAGCGTCTCTTTCAGATAGCATGGAAGAGTGTTCAGTGGTAAAATGTTCCAATATCTTGACGCATGCTGTCATCAGACTTCGTTTCCATTGTGCGGTTTAGGTGAATGCCTGGGATACGACGTGTTAGATAGGGCATTTGCCGGCGAATATTTTATGTCCGCTTCAGTCACAATTGACAGATGTGGTTCATTTTGGTGACAAAATTCAACTGTTATTAAAAGAGTATTCGCCCAGATGTGGATCTAACATTATACAATTATAGACTGGTGAATTCGGTCAATACCTGTTTTTATTACCCACGTGGTCAACGTATGGGTAGTTGCATACTAATCTCGTACGTCACACGAGTGGCGTATCGCGTTGACCTGTGTCGTAACGACTTGACCTGAGATTTTAACCGATGACCTCTCAATTAGGTCACATTCTGACGTAACTATTTTTTCATTCTTAACAAACACGTGAATTCATTCATTCTACAACTTAAATGCATTGTGGGAATGTAAACATTGCGAACGTTGCCGTGTCGCTGTTTAATTGTGAGTCGAACTGACTGACTGACTGAGTTTAGTTTTACGCCGCTTTTAGCAATATTCCAGCAATATCACGGCGGGGGACACCAGAAATGGGCTTAACACATTGTGCCCATGTGGGGAATCGAACCCGGGTCTTCGGCGTGACGAGCCAACGCTTTAACCACTAGGATACCCCACCGCCCCGAGTCGAACTGAGACATTATATCCGTCGAAAAACGTAAACGCAATGTTTCCACCAGTAATGTTAGCCGAATGAAGCAACTGCAAACCAAGAAACGGGGTGCTACGGAGTAGTTTACTGTAGGAGGCTGTACGAGGCGATGGCAACTGACATGCATCGTGACGTCGGTTGCCAAGGCAGTGACGTCATTACAGTGTGACGTCATGCAAATATTGTACTACAGTACAAAACTCTTCCGCAACCTCTTTATGAAACCGGTTTCGGTTTGAAACCAAAATATTAACAAAAATACGCTATTTTGTCAATTTAATGCATGTAAGACGTGTGTAATAAATAAAATACCACACTCGGTCTCATTACATACGAATTATACGAAACTCGTGACCTTCCTATGTTATCTGACCTCGCTTTCGCTCGGTCAGATACCATAGGAAGGACACTCGTTTCGTATAATTCGTATGTAATGAGACCTCGTGTAGTATTCTCTATTTATGGACCCGCGAAAAGCAATATTGACCGAGGACGAAAAGCGAGTCCATTCGTCCTCGGTCAATATTGCTTTTCGAGGGTCCATAAAAACAGGTATTGACCGAATTCACCAGTCCATAATTGTTTTATTATGTAATTACCGAAAAGAATTTCTAAAAAAACACAACATGTCCATTTAATCAAGATAAGTAATTTTATTTTCACTACAAACCAATAACGTTATGTCAACAATACGGTGACGTAAACAATAGAATGAGGTCATAGCTTGACGTCAAAATCTATTTTTAGTAACTCAAGTCAATATGACTTTTGGTCGGGCCTGGGTTGGAGTCAATACCCTTTGCTGTCGACGGTCACGTGACCGCCTCTAGACCAATCAGGTAGCCGGAAAAATATGCTTACATAATAAATCCATCTATATCTCAGTCTCGAAGATTTTCAAGTTTCTAAGTTCCATATATTCTTTATAATCGGAGCACCAACGGTTCTGTCGTCCAATTACTTAAAATGACCGCCATGACATACATTAAATGTGACGCGACATGTATTATGCAGTTTAAACCTTCAACAACTCATTGATCAAGCCTATTCCTCATTGATTAAATTCATGAAATACAATCTTCCTTGATTCGACTATTCCTTACATCTAGACGTTTACTCTGACAAGGTTACGTCATGCAGCTATTCCATGCAGTCGTTGTTTGGGTCTAAATGTGGGCCCATAGGTGCTTTGGTATATTCGACTGACTATAAATTAACACTTGTCCAAAAATGTTTCTCTTGGGTAAATCTCGAACAGAATATTGTCTGAAACTAAATTGTTAGAAATCGAAGTTACATAAAAGAGGACGTTATTGCAGTGTTGATGTATGTTAATTGGTGTGTTTAGTTAATGTTTTACCGAATCAATGCGCTAACCGGGCCACTGTAACAAAACCAAATCTAGCATTGTGTACATGAAGCTTAAGGTGTTGACTATCAGCCATCAGAGGTCATAGAGGTCATAGAGGTCATACAGGTCATAGAGGTCATCCTCATATTGGAGATTTGCATTGACATGTAAAATGTACTCAGACGGACCTGAAGTCATTTTTCAACAGAATGTATATAGAGAGTTAGACTCCGTTGTGATGGAATGGAACGCATCCGTGGCTTAGCGGATAGCGCGTCTGACGGGAGGCAGATGGGTTGGTGGTTCGCGTCATATATAAACATGTTGACACTGTACATTCACATCGCTGTTATCATTAAGTTTTGATCAACACAATGTATATCACCCAGAGATTATGGCGCTGGTGTTCACATATTGACTAACGACCAGAGGCCAACTAGAAGCGTGCCTGGTGTTCACATATTGACTAACGACCAGAAGCCAACTAGAAGCGTGCCTGGTGTTCACATATTGACTAACAACCAGAAGCCAACTAGAAGCGTGCCTGGTGTTCACATATTGACTAACAACCAGAGGCCAACTAGAAGCGTGCCTGGTGTTCACATATTGACTAACAACCAGAGGCCAACTAGAAGCGTGCCTGGTGTTCACATATTGACTAACGACCAGAGGCCAACTAGAAGCGTGCCTGGTGTTCACATATTGACTAACGACCAGAGGCCAACTAGAAGCGTGCCTGGTGTTCACATATTGACTAACGACCAGAGGCCAACTAGAAGCGTGCCTGGTGTTCACATATTGACTAACGACCAGAGGCCAACTAGAAGCGTGCCTGGTGTTCACATATTGACTAACGACCAGAGGCCAACTAGAAGCGTGCCTGGTGTTCACATATTGACTAACGACCAGAGGCCAACTAGAAGCGTGCCTGGTGTTCACATATTGACTAACGACCAGAGGCCAACTAGAAGCGTGCCTGGTGTTCACATATTGACTAACGACCAGAGGCCAACTAGAAGCGTGCCTGGTGTTCACATATTGACTAACAACTAGAAGCCAACTAGAAGCGTGCCTGGTGTTCACATATTGACTAACGACCAGAGGCCAACTAGAAGCGTGCCTGGTGTTCACATATTGACTAACGACCAGAGGCCAACTAGAAGCGTGCCTGGTGTTCACATATTGACTAACGACCAGAGGCCAACTAGAAGCGTGCCTGGTGTTCACATATTGACTAACAACTAGAAGCCAACTAGAAGCGTGCCTGGTGTTCACATATTGACTAACGACCAGAGGCCAACTAGAAGCGTGCCTGGTGTTCACATATTGACTAACGACCAGAAGCCAACTAGAAGCGTGCCTGGTGTTCACATATTGACTAACGACCAGAAGCCAACTAGAAGCGTGCCTGGTGTTCACATATTGACTAACAACCAGAGGCCAACTAGAAGCGTGCCTGGTGTTCACATATTGACTAACGACCAGAAGCCAACTAGAAGCGTGCCTGGTGTTCACATATTGACTAACAACCAGAAGCCAACTAGAAGCGTGCCTGGTGTTCACATATTGACTAACGACCAGAAGCCAGCTAGAAGCGTGCCTGGTGTTTACATATTGACTAACAACCAGAGGCCAACTAGAAGCGTGCCTATTGTACAACATGGTCGGGGATGCCACAGTTGTACAACGCCCTCCTCTCACAGCGACTCGACTTGAGGAAAGCCTGAAGTCATGCATGTGTAACAAAGTCATACACGAGCGTCATTTTTACTACTGGAACAGTATACAGTGTTAAACTAACAACACACAAAGACAAGAAAAGGACCTAGTATATTATAGTTTATCGCAACGATGACAATTCTCGTCTCAGATATATGACAAGTATTTCTCGTCTCTGATACATATGACAAGTATTTCTCGACTCTGATACATATGACAAGTATTTCTCGTCTCAGATACATATGACAAGTATTTCTCGTCTCAGATACATATGACAAGTATTTCTCGTCTCAGATACATATGACAAGTATTTCTCGTCTCAGATACATATAAAGCTTTCAGTGTTCTAATGAAGTTGCCGCCAACTACCACCACGTCTCCTTCACAATGCCCTGCACACATGTATGTGGTAGTTGTTCCAGCAACAGTTCATATATACACGAGCATCTGTATACCGGGGACGTTGTAGTCAGTGTAGCTGTACATGTAGAAGCGGTATACCACGATGTCGCCGAGAGGCAGCTACTGCATAGTTTACTAAAAACATATTTAACCTGATTCTTGCCTTCAGAGTAATTAGACTATTTCGGAGTTCATTGTGTCAACCTGGATTCAACATGACCCCGCCAGGAAGCTGGAAGTGAGAGACGACAGGATGGATTCAACATGACCCGGCTAGGATGCTGGAAGTGAGAGACGACAGGATGGATTCAACATGACCCCGCCATGAAGCTGGAAGTGAGAGACGACAGGATGGATTCAACATGACCCGGCTAGGATGCTGGAAGTGAGAGACGACAGGATGGATTCAACATGACCCCGCCAGGAAGCTGGAAGTGAGAGACGACAGGATGGATTCAACATGACCCCGCCAGGAAGCTGGAAGTGAGAGACGACAGGATGGATTCAACATGACCCGGCTAGGATGCTGGAAGTGAGAGACGACAGGATGGATTCAACATGACCCCGTCAGGTAGCTGGAAGTGAGAGACGACAGGATGGATTCAACATGACCCGGCTAGGATGCTGGAAGTGAGAGACGACAGGATGGATTCAACATGACCCCGCCATGAAGCTGGAAGTGAGAGACGACAGGATGGATTCAACATGACCCCGTCAGGAAGCTGGAAGTGAGAGACGACCGGATGGGTCGCAGGGTCAGGTTCAGTGACTCGGCTGATTGCAACGAAGGCGTGGATTACAATATCAATCACTGGATTGTCTGGTTCACGGTTATACTGAATTAGTGCCTCGTTAACCAAACGAACCAAACAAACGTAAATAAGATGAAGTGATGTCTTCATTTGTGTAAGAGTTATCAACTAACATACTTGCCCGACGCGACACATGACGTAGCAGTGTAATATGAGAGTATTGGTCAAAACAGACTTGTCCATCCCATGGATCTATTGAAACAGCAGGTGAGCATTGGATGCCAGGAGTCTGTTCAGTGCCCAGCTTTTGAATTTCAGGTTGTTGTCCACGAGAAGATTGCTGAGTCAGGTCCTGAGTTGCACCTGTACTTGGTAGGGCTCACATTGGCGCGCCAGTCCACTGATCACGTTCATGCTGTATTCCTCCACTTCTGGAGGCTGAATGATGCTACATTTCTGTAGGACTCCAGTAAAGAAAAGAAAAAGTTCGTTCCTAGCCAGAGACTCCCCCAAACACTTCCGCCGACCAGTGGAGAAGGGAAGGAACTCCTCCAGGAGGGACTTGTTGATCTCACCGGAAGAATCCAGGAAACGCTCCGGTCGGAAGACATGTGGATCACCCCATACTTCCGGGTCGTGACTCATGGAATACAGGTTGATGAAGACGACGGTGTTTTGGTTGATACTGTAGCCCCCGAGACTGGTATCAGTGGTGGTGAAGTGAGGCAGACTGAGAGGTGTCAGTGACACAAACCTGTTGATCTCATGGAGCACTGCAGCTGTGTAAACCAGCTGACCTCTGTCCAAGATACTGGGTCGTCTTCCGCAGCCTACAACGTCGTCCAGTTCAGCCTGGACCCGTCTCTGAACTTTTGGATTAGCGGCCATTAGCAGTAACATCCAGTAGAGGGTTGAAGCCGTTGTCTCAAAACCTGCCCCAAACAAGTCATTAATCGTCATCAAAATCCTTTCCTTTGACAGTTTAGGGGTTTCCTCACTCACGGATATTAATCTGTCAGTGATATCTCGCATGTTATCACTGGAGAAGGTATTTTTGTGTTCAAGGATCTTCTTTTGACTTGCGTTTGAACTTGTTTCGATGAGAGTTCTAAATTGTTTCAGTTTCCAGGGCATGAGAAAGCGGAGCCACGGCATAACATCAACTGGGTTTCCTGCACTGACGAATTCTGTGAAAGCAGCTGAGTTTAATATGAACTCGGCGAAGTCCTTGTTCTCCCTGATGTTTTGTTGTCTCCCGTAGCACAGCTGGAAGATGACGCTGCCGGCGGAGAGGTAGACGTATTCACGCGGGTTGAATGTTGCTCCCTGCATAGACATGAAGTCATCCACGATAGTGTCTATTTCATCATGAATCATATCTTCTATAGGATTTGACTTGGCGTTCGAGAACTCCGTCAGAACTTTGTTGGCTAGTTTTCTATGAAGCTTCCATGTTTCGTCATACAGCCCGAAGCCTATGCTCTGACCGTTGGAGACAATTTTTGCCGACATGAACTGCGGTCTTCCAGCGTAGTCCTCGCCTGAGTTCTGTAGAGCTTCCCTGATAGCCTGCTTGCCATTTACAACCACGGCCGGCCAACTACCCATCTGGATCTTGAAGATGTTCCCGAAACTTTCCTTCATCTTCATGAAAGTCACGTAGGGGTCCTTTCCCAATAGGGGGAGATGTCCAATAACGGGGAATCCCCAGGGACCAGGGGGAGGGTTTTTTAGATCGGAAGTCATCTTGTTCATCGCTTTGATTGCCAGCAATGACACCATGAAGGTTACCATGCCAACCTGTATTTCTGTTGACTTTAGAAATGTTGACATCAGCTGTACTGGGGAGGGTGAGGAATCCATTTTGAAAACCTGTGAAAAGAGAAATACAGTTAAAACAGTTGCCACAAAAATGGTAACCAATGTCCTTGGACATCGGGTGTTAGTCTACAGTGCTTGATTCCTCATATATTGTGACAATGACTTCGCCTTCTATTTGTGAGTGAGTGAAACTTTACACCGCTTTTGGCAATATTCCAGCAATATCACGTCGGGGGACACCAGAAATGGGCTTCACACATTGTATCCATGTGCAGAATCGAACCCGGCTCTTCGGAGCGACGAGCGGACGCGTTAACCATTAGGCTACCCCACCGCCCCCGTTCTATTTCTGACACATTTATCTAAATGATATAAATGATTATGCACGCCTCGATGGGGTTTTGCTTGACGCAGAGTTCTAGACCAGTGAAACGCCCCTGACTGGATCATGTCCCAGACTCTCACACTGCACGCCTACTGGTGGAGGCAGGGTGTCAATGTAGAACTATTAAGGACCTGCAACTGACAAAATGCAAAGGTGTTCTGGCGGACATCGTGAGCCCGGTCTATATCATTACAGACCCCCAGCAGCCAAACCTGTCGTGTTGTGGTCCGCCTCCAGAAGCAACGCCTCTCTGGAATGAACTCATCTACAAGCATTAAACAAGACGATGATTTCCCTTAGTTTCAACGCTCCAAAGACTGGTGGGGTTTGGCTGGAATGTGTCGATTTGTTAACGGGACTGCGACATATGGATCTCATCATGCATGGGGCTATTACAGGATCCACGTCCAATGTATTGGTTGTGTCGTGGGGATAGGTTCAGACTCCGACACCCTTCCATCTATGGCAGTACTTTCTTCTGACAACCGACCACATCAGATATATTTCACGATCCACAACTAAGAATGTGTCTCTAAACCTCTCTGCTCTGTGTTATCTGCTAGGTCAAACTGACCTTGCTTTACAGGCCGCCGTCATGATATCTTGAAATGATCTTTGCCCCAGACATAACCTGCTTTATTTATTTAGTACTGATGTGCGGCGTCAGCCCATATATGCTTACTTCTTGTCGGGGAAATGGCTGTAGTTACAGGTAGGACAGGACAAGCCTACCTGAACACCTGGTGTCACCTTTACACCACATCAATCTGTTTCTGATGACAGTTAAGACTGAGGTTTCTTTTGCACGGACGTTTTATATGCACTTGAGATTGCTAAATAAATATCTAAACAAATAAAGCAGTGTATGTCTGTGTCAAACCGTGGAACATGTCAGGTGTTATATGGAACATACTGAAGCTGCAGTGTACATGAGCCTCACACAAACACTAGTTCGCCGTATTTGTATCCCTGCAGCCTTAGTTTCCCAATTTCTGGGTCAAATCCATTGACAATAAACCAAACTTTTTGTTTCGACAAATGTTTACAAAGTTTTAAAATGAAATTCCACAGATAGAGGCATACAAGCCAGCTCTAAATGCTAAATGCCTCACCACTCAACCTGTGGAGAGAAACTCGATGACATTACGATTAATGCACGGTGACATTTAGACAGACCTACACCACACCATACGTGCGATCAGTACAATTTGAGCGACCTGACCCAACTGAGGCTGTCACATTACTGCAGCCCGGGCTGACACGATTCAGCAGGAATTAGCCAGTGGTAATCAAGGTTACCTTAAGTGAGTGAGTGAGTGAGTTTAGTTTTACGCTGCTTTTATCATATTCCAGCAATATCACGGCAGGGGACACCAGAAATGTTTACCTTAAGGCAGTATAACCGAAATATAAGGTGTAAAGTGCAGCAGATATATCTATGGTTGCAGTGAAACAAAACACTCACGTGCTGTACCACAGCTATGACTGATTAGCAAGATTTCATTGGTGCCATAGTAGTCTTTCTACGTAAGGCGTGTGATATAACAAGCAACTTCAGAATAACGAAATGAAACAAGATAACTCATCAGTTACAAGTTAAATTCTAAAGTAAGTGTATAAACCATCAACAGTATCATAAATCTAAATATACATTGTCAATACCTAGTTAAGACTGTTCATTAACATTATCGTATTCCTGATTCAAGTGATAAATGAAACTATTTTCTCTTCCGATGACATTACTTGGTTTCCGTTTTCCAGAATACACACCCTTAAGGATTCAACAGCTGTAAGTGTCTCCGATCAACAAGTATGACGGTTGGTCATACAGTTGATCATATGGTTGGTCATACCTTGGTCAACACGGTTTCATCTTGGTTTTCAAAAATCGAACTTAAGCAGAGTAACTGGTATAAATACATGTTTCCTTACACACACAGACCTTGAACACATGCATAAAACCGAACCTCAGACAGCTGTTACATGCCACTCAGACGTTCGTACACACAAAGACAACATGCACCATATAAATAATACTTACAGTGCCTCGTCGCGAGTCTGTTTGATCCGTGCGACTGCCTCGAACAGAGTGTGTCGATTGTGAGAAGTGAGGCACCTGCTCAGGCCATGTGACACAGTTGTATAACTCTCAGTATGTCGGGAGGTCAAACAGAGTTCCACAGTTGTATAACTCTCAGTATGTCTGGAGGTCAAACAGAGGTCAAACATGTGTATGTGTGGTGTGGGCTGGGGTGGGTGAAAGATAAACTTATAGGCAATAGTTGTTTTCCATACTGAGTTATTACAGATTGCTATTTTGGATCTGGAACACTGCGGACAATAGAGATATTATAACTGTGTCATCATGGTTATCATAACTAACAGAGTGGTACACGTGATAAACTTATACAATATACCAATGTACTTTTATTGGTTCATCTGTTCGAATGGTATCTATTAATGTTTTAGTTTTGAAGTTGATTTTTTTGTGGTATGATATGTAAGCATTAACCTAGTTTCTTAGTATATACGTAAACATTTCGTTTCATAACCGTCTACAACCACCACGTGGCGCGTGCACATGCAGCCCCCATGATGGGTGGCTGTTAGGGCCATGTTATACCTGCTACTGGCATTGTGCTCCATGATTGCCAGAATCTTGTTGAAATCATGTAACAATAGCACTACAGTGAGTGAATTTAGTTTTACGCCGGACTCAGCAATATTCCAGCTATATGGCGGCGGTCTGTAAACAATCGAGTCTGGACCAAACAATCCAGTGATCAGCAGCATGAGCATCGATCTGCGCAATTGGGAACCGATGACACGTGTCAACTAAGTCAGCAATCCCTTTAGTCGCCTCATACCTTCACGGGTACAATAGGACAACAAAATTAGGTTTTTTTTCCATTTTTGCTTCTCTGAATAAACTACAGTTTTTCGTTCTGTTTGCGTTTAGATGTGCCATGTAATTATCCACTGAGGGTCAGTTTATCCAGACAGTAAGTTAACTGAGGTTTGAATAAGTTCCTGTGCCGGTCATATTGATACGACGAAAGATATGCTGCGTTGCAATACTATTTTCCGTGTCTATATTATGGTTCATAAAAGGTACCTATTGATGCTTTTAATGTTCTACTGTTGCTTTTTTGTAACATACCTTACACTTCATATAACATATTAGCATTAACTTCGTTTCTAAGTATATACATGTTTTTTATAAACATTTGGTTTCGTAACCACCAGTCACGTGGCGCGTCCACGTGTTGCCCCCATAGTATGGATGGCTGCACCAAATAGGGGTGTGTGGTGGCTTGAGGTGAGAAGATGGGACGTTCAGTACCTTTAGTAGACTAATGCTTAGTCTCTGAATAGATATAATTTTGATTGTAACAAACAAACCTATTATACATTGAAAAGGAGCCCCAGGGAGACCAGAGATTCAGAACCTGGGGAAATCTAGACTTGCTTCATTTAGGGCTTTAGCACTGCAGGGAAGGCTAGGCTGTAGGGGAAATATTGTGGTTCAGGGACTGTGAGACAGACTGGGAGGGCTAGGCAGTAGGGACAGGGACTGTGAGACAGACTACACCTTTAGTTCTGGGGTCTGTATGGTATCCAGGTAGCATCAAGCGTGTACACGCACTCACGTTAACTCATTAACGGGGTACTGTGTCAATGTAATGATACGGTAATTATGGGAAGCAAAACTGGTGTTCTTCTCTTTTTTACCAGAACAAATTGGTACAATATATTCAGCCCAGCTTGTGTTTCCTCCCTACTTGATGCTACTGGAATATTGAGAAAAGTAGCGTTAAAAACAAACTCACTCATGTTGGTTAAAATGGAACAGGTCATCGGTCATTACCAGTCTAAACAATTTGTTGGTTTTTTTTGTTGTCTTTTGTTTGTTTGTTTTTTAATCATCTTGTGATAGGTACAAAGCCATGACATCAAATAACAGTCAAATATAACCATGCGTCTGTATACAGAGTTTGGCAAGCATATTATAACAAATGACATTGTAGGAAAATGGGTCGGTTGTACGCTAGTATCAATAAAACAATTGGTGACAATCAGACCAAAATCCAGCAAATTTTGTAAAATTACAAGAAGAGATGGCATGTGTTCTCTCGATATTGTAAACTTACATATTTAATTTCTGATCGTATCGAAACCTGGTGTACAAGTATATAGTTGTATTTAAAAAAGAGTAAATTTGACAGCTGTTATCAGTAGATTAAGGACATCGTTCCTTTTATCAGAGAATCCAAATATGATTTTCTTCTTATCGATATTCAATGTGATATCTGTTTTTATCATCCAAAACTGTGTTCCACAGGAGATATCGCTTGTGTGAGATCAAACGATATCTCCTAGGAGATATCGTTTTGACAGTAGATTTTGTACAATGCCCTGACAATGCTATGACGTCATGTACTTGATGACGTCACAATGCTATGACACCGCTGCACTGCAAGTCTAATGGCAGTACCATGTTCAGAGATGTACCTTTTTCATTGAAAATTAATGAAGAGTGATTTTGGATGATAAATAGAATCTCACCCTCGTGTCTTCTGATATCAAATATATCAACACTCGTTGATAAAGTAAAAATATCCTCGGCAAGCCTCGGATATTTGTAACTTTATCAACTCGTGTTGATATAATTGATATCAGAAGACACTTGGGTGAGATTCTCTATTTATTTTTATCCAATTAGAAAATTGATTCCATATGTTTTTTACATTTTGGACAGTCGTGAAAGAGAATTCCGCTTTCTGGTACATTTTTACAAAATGAGCATAACTTACTCTCTACATACCCCATCTTAAACAAAAGTAGGTTTATAGACACGATTCTATGCACTAGAGAATATTGGAACCATCTAAAGTCTGAGTTTGTGTGAGCTCGAAATATAATCTTTTGATAGGATTTCCATTCTTTTTCACTTATATCTGTTTCAAGTTCATCGTCCAATTTCTTTTTATAGCTATACATAGCAGAGTCTGAAACTGGAATAAGTATATCATAATATGTCCTACAGCCTTTCTTAGTTTTAAAGATGTCCTGTATGTAATAAGGAATAAATGGTAGTTCAAGTTTTTCTCCAAATGGTATGTTGTATGTTTTATAATATTGTTTGACTGCTCTTACTAGGCTTGCATATTCTAAGAAGTTCGTTTTTAAGGATTTTCTAGTTTGCTCGTGAAACTTTTGATATGTATAGATTGTTCCATCAGTATCTATCAAGTCATTTACATATGTTATGCCTATTTTAGCTTAGTGTTGATACACAAATGTTTTTTTATCCAAGTCTATGTGTTCATTGTGCCATAAACATTGCGATAAAATATCATTGCCCTTAACAACTTTTTTATTTTTCAATGACGTTTAGAAACCCCATGCTAAGAGTGCGTCTTTCCAAATCAGTTTGTTTTTTATTTATAACTCTTTGTTTTATAAATGTTTCCCCCTTCAGCAGGATATCTGGTATGTTTTGTGAAACATTATAGGAAAAGATGGCAGTCAATTTAGAGTCTTTTAAACATATTCTTTTAAACCATGCAATTTTTTTAGCATTCATAATCTGTTTTATGTCGGGCATTCTTAAACCGCCCTCCTCATATTTTTGTTTTATGATATCACGTTTAATCTTATCAGGTTTGTTATACCATACAAAGGAGACACATAGTTTTTCTAAGTCGTTTATAATGTCATTTGATGGGTTGGGTAGGGCGAAAATAAGTGGTTTATTGTTGGCAGAATTAATGTTTCCAGGATTGTAATCCTACCGAGGGGTGTAAGGTTTCGAGCTGTCCATATTTGCATTTGTCTTTTTATTTTTTTAAGTTTGTCTTTATAGTTCTTTTCAACCATCTCAGCTAGGTTTAGAGAGAATACAATACCGAGAATAGCAAAATCAGCTTGGGAAGTTTCCATTTTTTGCACAAAATATTGGTTGATCCTGTGAGAGATCCTATCCAAATGATTCTTGTTTTATTTACATTCATTCCCAGACCGGAAAAGGAAGCATAGTCGTCCGATATTTGTGAGGCATTTTGTAGACACTTTTCAGTACCATCTAAGACAAGGGATGTATCATCTGCAAACTGGGAGACTACATATTCTGTGTTTCCAATTGTTATACCTTTACTTTTGGATTCCCTACTTGATGCTGCTGTCATATTGAGAAAAGTAGCGTTAAAACCAAACTCACTCATGTTGGTTAAAATGGAACAGGTCATCGGTCATTACCAGTCTAAATAAATATCGCTGTTTTCCCGACTGATAAATGACAGACAATTATTGAAACACCAGGTGGGCTGAATATATTGTACCCATATGGGGAGTCGAACCCTGGCCGCTGTCCGACATTTTTATGAAAGCCATGAGCACAGGTACACAGATGACAAACCTGGAAACAACCCCTAGGAAACCGAGATTTGACCTTGTTTCTAGTCATATACACGGAATTCAGGTAATCTGAAATATCCATCAACTATACCCACGATGTGCCAACCTACCACTGAATACCTTGTGAGTTGCTGAAACATTTTGTCTGGCAATCATGTGACCCATCAGTGAATTGGTCAGTAAAACATGGACAATAATAACCTACAGGTCATAAATAATAATACTTTTTGTGTGCAGTCATTAATATCATAGGCGGATCCAGAAGGGCGCACCCCTGCAACCCCCTTTAGTCTTAAAAGTTTATTAAATGACTATTGAAAACAAGTGTAAATGAAGTGTGTGCTCTCTCCCCACTAAACCCCCACCCCCTCCTTTCTCCAAAAAGCTGTATCTGCCCCTGAACATTAAGTACTCCACATTGCAAACTTTCCAAATCATGGTTCAGACAAACCAATAATCAAGAGCATGAGCACCATAATCCAGGTAACATTCAGTTGTGAGTTGCACGGTTTGGGTACTATGATACCCGAAACTATCGCCAACTTAAATTTTCTCAAAATCGATCCAGTAGGTGATAAGCAGTGTCACATCAACAAACAATGGGCTAGTTACACTACTTTATTATATGCATGATCCAATCGTGATACCGATGCCTGGGTGAAACAGTAAGGGTAACAGAGGTTGCCATCGTGGTTGTCACAGCACTGAATGTCAATATCACAGGAGACTTCATCACATCTATAGGTGGGAAACTTGTATATGATGCTGCAGCTCAAGCCCAAGGTACAGCATGAACACAACACATATAGAGCCAGGTAATATGGATAATACTCAGATAATATTTACAATTATGTTTGGAAATGGATGTGCATATGTTTGGTGTTGCAGTTAACAGTTCGGAGTAAAACTCATAGATTAAGACAATAATGCATTTGGTAAATGGAAAGTTACACAACTGGCACTGGTGCAAATACTGCTGTTGTCATGATCAAATACTTCAAGGTTTCATATTGTTGCAAAGGTTTGGCGTGAAATTCTTATTATTCAAATATGTCATTTTGCAAACATGTGTGGGTCTTATGAAAGGAACGTGACATGCAGATATTGAATTAAAGCATGATGTTAAGAATGTACATTTGGGTTGAAAAAGTTTAGAAAAGTAAAATTCATTCATCAAAATTTGACAATGCCTGAAAAAGAGCATCTACTGTTTCAACAAATACTGGTTTTGACATGATATACAATCATTAAAGATTCAATCAAACATAATTTTGGTGTATTAAATGACTTCATGATATTTTATACCTTTACAAACACAGATATCCTAATAAGCATGTATTATATATAAACACAATAGTTGCCTTTTGAAAATGGGTCTATGACAAATTCTTTCCAAACTACCCCCTCAGATACGCTTTTACTTAGGCCACTCTTATGATGGCAGGGCTCTTGTATCGGTGAGCTGCCTGAGGCTGAGCTATCTTCTTCATCTTAGGAGTTTGAGCCTCCATGTCCCGGATGTTGGCCTCTCGCTCCTGCTCCTGGTTTCGATGCAGGATCTGATTGATGCAGTACTCAGACTCCTGGCCACACTCGGTCAGTCTCAGGTCCATCTGGGTGATGGTGGTGTTCTCCTCCATCCCTTCCTGAAGCTGCTTGCCTCCGTCCTGCAAATACACACACCATTAGTAGAGGTGCCAACCATGGCAACTTGGACAGAATTAGTTCATGCCTCCGTCCTGCAAATACACACACCATTAGTAGAGGTGCCAACGATGGCAACTTGGACAGAATTAGTTCATGCCTCCGTCCTGCAAATACACACACCATTAGTAGAGGTGCCAACCATGGCAACTTGGACAGAATTAGTTCATGCCTCCGTCCTGCAAATACACACCATTAGTAGAGGTGCCAACCATGGCAACTTGGACAGAATCAGTTCATGCCTCCGTCCTGCAAATACATACACCATTAGTAGAGGTGCCAACCATGGCAACTTGGACAGAATCAGTTAAAAGAGTTGCTACAAAAATGGTAACCAATGTCCTTGGACATCGGGTGTTAGATTTCAGTGCTTGACTCCTCATGTATTGTGACAAGGACTTTGTGTTCTACTTGTGAGTGTGTGACTGTGTGAGTGAGACTTTATGCCGCTTTTAGCAAGATTCCAGTAATATCATGGCGGGGAACATCAGAAAGGGGCTTCACACATTGTAACCATATGCAGAATCGAACCCGGGTCTTCAGCGAGACGAGCGGACGCTTTACCCATTAGGCTACCACACCGACCCCGTTCTATTTCTGACACATTTATCTAAATGATATAAATGGTTATGCACACCTCGAAGGGTTTTGCTTGACGCAGAGTTCTAGACCAGTGAAACGCCCCTGACTGGATCATGTCCCAGACTCTCACATTGCACGCCTACTGGTGGAGGCAGGGTGTCAATGTAGAACTATTAAGGACCTGCAACTGACAAGATGCAAAGGTGTTCTGGCAGACATCTTGAGCCCGGTCCATATCATTACATGACCCCCAGCCCCAAACCTGTCGTGTTGTGGTCCGCCTCCAGAATTGTCCAGGCCTCCCCAGAGTGAGTGAGTTGGATTTTACGCCGCTTTTATTAATATTCCAGCAATATCACGGCGAGGGACACCAGAAATGGGCTTCACACATTGCGAACCCAGGCCTTGGGCGTGACGAGCGAACCTTTTAATCACCAGGCTACCCCAGCGGCCTCTTTCAGAGCGAACTCATCTACAAGCATTACACAAGACGATGAGACTGCGACACGTTTATCTGATCATGAATACTGCAAGAATTACAGCAAGAGGAGAGAGCATATTGCTGTCTGTGTATAATGAAAATCAACCATGTTAATGGCTCGGATCGCTTTTACTTTCCACAATGACGCATGGAAGTATTACAGGATCCACGTCCAGTGTATTCTGTGTGTCGTGGGGGATAGGTTCAGACCCCGACACCCTTCCATCTATGGCAGTACTTTCTTCTGACAACCGACCACATCAGATATATTTCACGATCCACAACTAAGAATGTGTCTCTAAAGCTCTCTGCTCTGTATTATCTACTAGGTCAAACTGACCTTCCTTTACAGGCCGCCGTAATGACCTTGATATCTTGAAATGATCTTTGCCCCAGACATAACCTGCTTTATCTATTTAGTACTGATGTGCGGCGTCAGCCCATATATGCTTACTTCTTGTCGGGAAATGGCTGTAGTTATAGGTAGGACAGGACAAGCCTACCTGAACACCTGGTGTCACCTTTACACCACATCAATCTGTTTCTGATGACAGTTAAGACTGAGTTTTCTTTTGCACGGACGTTTTATATGCACTTGAGATTGCTAAATAAATATCTAAACAAATAAAGCAGTGTATGTCTGTGGCAAACCGTGGATATGGCCAAGTGTCATATGAGATATGCTATATGCACTTGAGATTGCTAAATAAATATCTAAAAAAGTATTGCAGTGCATGTCTGTGTCAAACCGTGGAACATGTCAGGTATTGTATGGGATATACTGAAGCTGCAGTATACATGAACCTCGCACAAACACTAATTTGGACAGAATCAGTTCATGTCTCCGTCCTGCAAATACATACACCATTAGTAGAGGTGCCAACCATAGCAACTTGGACAGAATCAGTAATAATTAGTAGTTTGACAGATCCACCTCGCTGCTAACTCACCGGCCCCAGTCTGTTGCAGGACAGGTCTATGGATTTGACGGTGTTGTTCTGCATCACCACCTGAGAGAGGATCGCCGCTGTTGGTTCTGCCATGTCGTTACTGCCGATGTTCACTTCCCGTAAGGTTGTGTTTTTCAGAAGCGATCGACAGATGGCCTGACCTCCATCATCTCCCAGTCTGAAAGAAAATCTGGGCTTGAGTTTGATGTGTGGAACAGTCATCCAGGATGGAATCAGACACTTAACAGATATATAAAGGCTTGTGGTTTTCATGAAATAAACCAATCCCATAGACTCAGCGAAGCCTTCTTTATCAATTAACAAGTGATTTACATTCCCATTGTGTTTCCCAAATACATGCATTTCTATGTCATTAGCATGTGCCGCCATAACATGGCAACAACCTGACAGCAAGACATTTGGCATTATGTAACAGGTTGGGTAGTTCACTCAAAACCTGTATTGTTGGGGGTTTCTAAAAATACTTTAGTGAGTTGAATGAATCTGATATTTGCAGTGGCAACACGCTGAGCTAATACTCTCTATTTCTACTATTTTTTTATTGCTTCACAATGAGAATTAATTAGTAGTAAACCATACCACAGAGTACAAGGTTGACAAACCAGTTCACTCATTTGTCAAATACTGGGGAAATTCCATCTTGGACTGATCCTGTATTCATGTAATCCTGCTGGTTCATCTTGCTGGCAGAAAATGTTTCTTGCAGATATATATTTTACTTGCATCTTTACTTATATGTCGTCAGAAACCAAGGTGTCTCTTCACGTTGTGTCACTGGTAATGTCCCTTAGATATTTTCATTCTACAATACTGTTGATGTGTAATGTAGTAATAGATAACTCTGGCCCATATTGTGAATCTGGTAGGCTACGTTAAGGTTCATGACAAACAAATTGAAAGACATTGTATGTTTCACAACATTTTCCTCTAACTGGCACGTGAACATTTTAAAATTTCCTTCGTCTTTCAAATGACACTTTCACTAATTATGATCTGACAGATAAAACAAACTGATGAAAGAGTAAGAATATACTTCATCATGTTGTGTTCCTTATAATAATAAAGTTGACATCCATAACTTCTTCTTTAAAATGCTTCATTACCATTATTCAAGATTAGGATAATCCAGGTTTTTGTAAAGGTGCCCTAATTCTGCTTGCACAATTCATTACCACACAAAAAGATCCCATGATCAATTTTAATTATGTATATATGGTTCCTCCTAATTTTATGCTACATTTGTAAATACATTCTCTGTTTTGTATGTAAATACAGTGGGACAATGTGTGGTTATATTGTTATTCAAAAGCATAAACACGGTGCATATAGCAGGATCTGCTTCCTACCTGTTGAGTCTGAGGTCGAGGAACTGGAGTGTGGTGTTTTTAGTGAGAGCATGAGCAATGGCCTGGGCTCCTGCAGCCTTGATCTGGTTGTCACACAAGTTGAGTCGAACGAGCTGACTGTGATTGTTGAGGAACTTGCCAACTGCACGTGCTCCACGGTCACCTATCAAATTATGTGACAAGTCCAACTCAACAAGACTTGGGTGATCAAGTATATGACTGATCAGAACCCGCACTTTGTCTTCATCAACTTTACTCCTGTGGAGTTTGAAGACCTTGAGAGTTTTGCACTTAGCAACACATTCAGCCAGCTGCAGACAGTCTCTGGCTGTGAACTGAAACAGATTCCATTCAAAATTCATGCCACAGTCTCTGACACCATACGTCAGATGAAGCTCCTCTAGGTTGGGCAAAGCTTTAAGGACAGGAGTGAAATTGAAATGATCACATTCCGGCTCATCCCCTACATCACTTCCAGCATCTGAAGCTTCGTCAAAGTCAGGACCCTTTGGAGCCTCTCTGACAGGTGGGAGTAACTGATTAATGTCAACCTTCTTAATGTAGTTAGCAGACAGAGCCAGAGTTTCAGTCAACTTCGTAGGGTCTGTGGTTTCAGGAACAAAGTGCTCAATAATTTCTTGCAGATTTTTTCAAAGTACATTCGTTTCCAGCTTTCGCCATAAGCAGAGACATCACAGATTTCCCAACGTGCTTTGCAGCATCTCTTCCAGTAATCTTCATCCTGGACAAGATTAGCTGTTACTTTAAGTGGCAGGCTAGTTGATATCTTTTCCAGAACTTTGTTTTGGTGCTTTGGCAAGAGGTCAGTCAGAATTTCAGAATTGTCTGATGAAACAGAAAATTGAAAGTAAACTTAGCCATGATAAAAATACCAAGAAAGTATAGACTTCTCAATTCAGAACTTCCAGTGACATGGACAATGATATCCTTCACATGATACTATAAATCACTATCATTTAACCCTGTTATTCAATTTCCTTTCAAATTAACAATTTTTTGAATAAAAAATGTATAACTACATCATATTTGTCAAAATATTTACTTTCTTGAAAGTGAATGAGTGTTTTGCTTTAACACCATAACATGGCAACTACTATACTTTGAGTGGAAAGCATAAAGCAATGCAGCTATAAGATACTGATCATTTAACACCATAACATGGCAACTACTATACAATGCAGCTATAAGATACTGATCATTTAACACCATAACATGGCAACTACTATACAATGCAGCTATAAGATACTGATCATTTAACACCATAACATGGCAACTACTATACAATGCAGCTATAAGATACTGATCATTTAACACCATAACATGGCAACTACTATACAATGCAGCTATAAGATACTGATCATTCATGAAGCCGACAAACACTGGACTGGTGGTGACAAACCAGGAATCAAAATCACGAAGAATGTTAGATTTGAACCCACAATCGTATTATCCTTACACGGTGATGATGAAACACACAAATTGGCATTGTGTATTCAAATCTCTGTACAACTGACTATAACTTCTAGTGTAAAGTCAGAGTTTGATTGTTAGATTCAAAATGCAAATACAAATTACAATCTATACAATCGGTATATATCCTCAACACAATGTTTAACTAAGCAAAGAGGAGGCTTACAAAATGTCAGCATTTTTCTCTGATAATTCTAAATGATACTTCCCATGAATACAACTCACTTTCAAAGTTTTCAACTATGTGCTTCACACAAAGTTCAGTAAGGAGCGGCACAGTTGCAAGTGACCATTCGGGATCCTCCGCAATGATTCTTCTCATGTTCCTCCAGTCTGCTGCCGGATTATCTTTGGCTGATCCTGTCGGGGTTTGAACAAATTCTCTCCCTCTCTTACTTCCCTGACTCTTTCCACTCTTATGGGAACCTGCTGACCCTGCTCTAGAGGCAGGCTTCGACCCTCCCTGGCTCTTGGGCCCACTCTTTGTACTCTTGGCATCCTCATCAGCAGGAGAACTCTTATCTCCTCCCTCACTCGGCTGGGTTTGTTCAGTCAGTGGTGGCTCAGCCATGCTGTAAAGTTTTGTTTAATGTCACTATAAGTTTTATTTTTATATTCGTACTTACCAAAATTACAAGAAAATACAACAGTCTACTTCAGCCTTTTTGTATGATGTTTGAACATGTTTGATAAATGATCATAATCTTGTCCTGGTCTGACTCACTACCTAACACCTGTCCTGTCATTGTATCAAAGAGGATACAGATGGATGGTTTGCGTCTTTCATTTCTTGTTGCCAGGTACAATGCACAATTTGTACCACCACACATCTATACCTCATGTGAATCACATCAGTTGACGGTGAATATATGTTGAAGCCTCAACAAAGTTTACAATAACATAAGACTGGACTTTAGCTTTGGATGAAAGTGAAACTATTTATTAAATTAGTGTGCCCTCATGGCCCCCTTCCCACAGAGAGATAACGATGATATGTACTGGAGTGATCTCCGTAGTATGAAACCTCGAAAACAACACTATACACAATAGCCATAACTCTATGTGAAAACGTCTATTCAGAAATATAGGCATGATCATAAAACCTGACACTATTTATTTCGAAATAAGTCCCCCCCAGTTTAGCTTGCCTAATAATATTGACAAAATATGTTTATCTTGAGAGTTATCAAATCAATTATATAAACGATACAACCTTTCGTCTGAATCAAAGTGCCTTCTTTCGTCGCTGGTTAGGAATCAAACGAAAAATCGGCAAACATAACGAGCAATGACCAACGTTGTAATGTAAGAGCTTCCTTGCCAACTTGTTGAAAGAGTTGCTATGGAAGCAGGAAGTAGGAAGTACCTCTGACGCATGCGCGGTATGACGCATCCGGCGTTGCACAAGTATGGCGGCGCCCTTGTGAAAACACTTTCGAGGTTAACGAAAAAGATGCTTTCTTTCATATACAAAGCATGATTTTGGATACTCACCCAAAGAATGAGCAAAAGTTGTGACTGTGATAACATTTGTTACACACTTATACTGTGACAGTTGACACATAAATCTAACCATGTTGAAACGACCTAAAGCAGGTGAAAGTGAGGATGATCTGCTCAAGTTTCAAGAGGAATTTCTTGCTCGTAATAAGTCAGATCCATCAGCCAGCGTAAAGAGGGCAGACAAAAGAAAACCAAGCAGCGAGGATAAGAAAGATGTCGTCAAACTTGATGGTGCTTATGAAAACATAATTGCAGTGAACGTAACTTTAAGATCTGCTATTCGAATTGTCATCTATTTAATGAAGATATAGACGTGATAAAATTCCGTCAGTTAATGTGTTATTGAGTATTTGATGACATTAACCACCTTTATACCTGATAGTAACATACATTTGCTTTGAGGTTGCTCAGAATAGACGAAATGATTCATCTTGTGCTTCATCTGCAACAGTCGTAGTCAATAGCGCCATTTTTCATACTATTTACTATAAGTATTGACTTGCCAGAGGACAACTTAATTATGTTTTCCCTCTGATCCAGCACTGTATTTTCATGTGTCCGGCAAGTCTTGCCTACTAGCTAAACACAACTCTCTAAACACTTTCATTCAATGATACAAACATTGAGGTCGTTGACCAATTTCTTCAACTTCTATTTGTCACATGTAAGGCAAGCATGTTTTGTGTTTGACAACTCTTTTTCTCAGTATTTTCATATAGGGCTAGTGTTGTTACATTTCAAGTCTTATGGATCATTTTAATATCTAAGTTGTGCCAGAAAAGTGACAACTAAACTATGAGAACATATCTACAAATTAAAGGAATGACAAATCTTCATGGATGATCAATTAAAGGCCTACACAAATTTGTCCATGGCAGACAATGACAGATTCCTGTAAAAAGCTGAAGAAAAGCACCAGTAATTGTACATTTAACACAGCTGAAAATTCTTCATTGCTTATAGTTTCAGGATTAATGTTGTAACAGCTGTGAGCTGCAAATAGACTGCCGGTTGAAACACTGATGATGACACAGTCATACAGTGAGGCGGCCATAATAACATGCATTTCATTGTAGAAAACATGTGACTTCAGGTGAAGACAAAATATGTTTCATCATCGTTGTTTTGTATATCATGATAGCTGTATTTCCGTTGTTTCAGAATTACCTCAAACATTGCCACCTGGACCAGTGCCAGTCAAAAAGTCCAAATTCAGGAAAGCCCAGGAAGAAAGACGTTCCAAGGAAGCAACCACTTTGGCAGAAACAGATGATGCCGAAGAAAGAGTTGAAAGTAATGACAGTGTACACGTTAAATGCCAAACATATTGATATGATAATGTGACAAGTTACTGTGGATAACTCAATGAAGATGAGTAAAGAGATGATATGCATGCTATTTCCAATAACTTGTTTAATCCATCTGCTAACAAGAGGAATGGATTATTTGTCTTTAACAAATGTTTAGGTTCTGATCTGAGGGTCAGGCCATATGCCACAATGTCAACTTTTAATTCTGAAATATGACTGGTCAAACTTAAGGAGCGATATTCATGACATTAAACATGTTAAACAGATTTAATCTTTTCAAAATTATGATTAAATAGATAAATACCAAGTTTTTTAGTTGACTACTAGTATTTAACTTTTTCTCCAAGCTTGATGAAAATTTGCATGTAATATAAATCTCTGTGCATAATTTGAGTGAGTAAGTTGAGTTTTCCGCCGCTATTAATTGAGTATTTAGCAATATTCCAGCAATATCATGGCGGGGGACACCAGAAGTGGGCTCCACACATTGTGCCCAGTGCATGATTTGAATCATTATTTTTACAGTATATAATATGTTGGCAGACAACCCATCCATGTGTAAATGTAGTGGGATTTATCAAGTCATTATTGTACCTGATACTCACTGTTCCTGGTACTAATTCCATCTTTGGATGTCAATTTGCCTTGTTCTAACTCTCAGTCTTTTGTTGACAGAGCACGACCGACATATGGCGCAGGTTTTGACACAGATTATAGTAAGTTTCCTGAATGTCTTTAATTGTGACTTTACTCATTTTGTTATCCATGAACTCAAGTCTTCTCTGAAAAGCCATAAATTTGTCACATCTATATTGACATGAAATGGGAAATTATACAGCGTTTTAGTCAATAGGTTGACAAATGAGATTTGATTGTCCAAACGGTCAAGGAAAGGTGACTCCAGACATGTTTGCACTTCAGAAAACTTGATGAATCACTGCTGTGACACAAAGTTATGACTTTTGGCCTATCATCATGATCATAGTTATGAAATATGAATGTACATGTGGTGAAAATTTGCCATCAACCAACTGTGGTAACATCCTTTTGAGAAGTTTTGTTCTGTGACACAGGAGAGGGATACAAGGAATGCTGCTGTGTTTTTGCCCAGACAGACAAGTCAGGCGTTTCCAACAGCCCTTCACAGAGGCCACACACTGCAGGTAGACACAGTGCTGAACCATGTTGTGCTGTCATTGATTTACATTTATAGGATCTTCCCCTTGTGCACCATGCTGTGCAGAGTTATATTCCTTCCTTCATCAAGGATCCACTTCGTAAAGGCACAATTACTATACTTGGTCAGTTAGATCTTACATGTGCTTTTAGGTATTGGTTGGATTTATATTGACATACTCGAAATACTTTTCAGTGCCTCCATTTCATTTCATTTGAAGATTTTGTAATAAAACTGCATAGATTTTGGGAATATGTGTTTAGTCCAGCCTTCCTGCATGTATATATGTAATGTATTGTGTTGAAAACATCAGGCAATCCTTTGTGATCGATACATACTTCTGCAATATTGATTTGATGCATGCATTTCTAAATAATTTCGTCAAATATATTTAGGGTGGGTTATATACAGTTTTGCATTTTCACCATTGAGTGTTCGAAAGAAATTTTGTGAAACTCATATAAATGAATCTTGATAATGTATGAAACCCTTCACTTCAGGCTTGGAGGTGTATGTAAGTGCATTGGTACAGACACATCAGTTCAGGCCAAGATTTTGTTCAAATTATAAATCTAATGAGTTGCAAACTTGTATGCTTCAGTCGACTGGGTCATCAGGTGAGAAGAAGAGCTTGTTTATGCAGCACCTGGCTACATCTGGGGTGAAGGACTTCGGGGTGGTGCTAAAGCAGGAGCTGCAGAAGACTGGAGAGATGCCACACAACCCAAGCACCGACGTGGAGGAAAGGGGAGGTAACTACATATTGCAAGTTGTTGTTTAGTCCAGTATTGTATACTGAGTGTGTGTTGCATGTACTTCAGTTGGCAATATTCCAGCTGTACATCATGCTTGTCCAAGCATGACAACAAGATGTATGATGTACCCATGACTATCGGGATTCTGTGCTAGGATAGATCACCAGCAACTTACCCTTGTTGTACGATGTACCCATGACTATCGGGATTCTGTGCTAGGATAGATCACCAGCAACGTACTCTTGTTGTATGATGTACCCATGACTATCGGGATTCTGTGCTAGCACCAGCAACGCAGTACCCATGACTATCGGGATTCTGTGCTAGGATAGATCACCAGCAACGTACCCTTGTTGTACGATGTAGCCCCAGTAATCAGTTCAGTCATCACAGACATTCATGCAAATGCTGTTCCGACCTGGGATGGAAGTGTGAATGTGAAATATAGTAGACCTCTATGACATTGATGGTTCCTGAATCTAGACCTCTGTACAATGGTATTACTATGATGTATTGAACAGATTATGTATTCAGCAGCGTCCATTCGTACGCCTGTACGTCTTCAATGCTTGTTAACACGATATCTCATGAACTGTTGTACCCAATGTCTCCAAATTTGGTGACAGCCTACATTAGGGGACTAACACAGACACCAGTTGATTTGGGACATTGCCATAATAGTGGCAAACATCTGTTCACACCTTGAGACTGTGACAGGAAACTCCATGACAGTATCCAGATGGTAGAGTTTCAGAGTTACTCATTGCTAGGAGCATAATAAGTAGCAAGTAGCAGGAATTTGTGTATCAATGTTGAGAACAAGTTAGTTTTTAATAAGTAACAAAAGGGTGTTTTTCATGGTTATGTATATCCAGTGATATAGCTCTGATAAAGGTATGATATATCCAGTGATATAGCTCTGATAAAAGTATGATATATCCAGTGATATAGCTCTGATAAAGGTATGATATATCCAGTGATATAGCTCTGATAAAAGTATGATATATCCAGTGATATAGCTCTGATAAAAGTATGATATATCCAGTGATATAGCTCTGATAAAAGTATGATATATCCAGTGATATAGCTCTGAAGAAAGTATGATATATCCAGTGATATAGCTCTAATAAAAGTATGATATATCGAGTGATATAGCTCTGATAAAACTGTGGTATATCCAGTGATATAACTCTGATGAAAGTATGATATATCCAGTGATATAGCTCTGATAAAACTGTGGTATATCCAGTGATATAGCTCTGATGAAAGTATGATATATCCAATGATATAGCTCTGATAATACTGTGGTATATTCGATGATATAACTCTGATAAAACTGTGGTATATTCGATGATATAACTCTGATAAAACTGTGGTATATCTGATGATATAGCTCTGATAAAACTGTGGTATAACTGATGATATAGCTCTGATAAAACTGTAATATTTCTGATGATATAACTCTGATTTAATTCTGAAACATCATGTGATATATAAGTAATAACGTTTTCCAGTGATGTAAACTCCATCTTACAGATAGAAAGGCTACATCCAGGATCGTGCAGGGCTCTGGTCTGAGTGCTACACTAGGAACTACTGAAGCAAGGAAGATTCATGAGGAGAACTTGGAGAAGATATCCACCATGACACAGGAGGAGATTGATGAGGAGAGGAAGAAGCTGATGGAGATGATGGGTGAGTTACCTCCCTTGTTGCCAGGATCCAGAAATCCAGGGCTAAAATTGTGTTAGGTCTGTGGCCAGACAGCACAATAGACATCCTTGTGTTCATGGCCTGTTGTACATTGTCTTTCCTACTGTAATAATGTAACATCTATATATGTCATAATTAACTCTTATTGTAAAACCCCAGATAATTGACTTGCTTGTTGGAATACTTTAAATACAGTTTTCGATGTCAGTTGTGTTACCTTATTCCAGATCCAAAGTTGCTAGCATTCCTGACTTCCAAAAAGAAGGTGAAGCCCGAGATAACGGAAATGGAAACAGAAACAAGTTTGAGGGAGAGAGTTGCTGGTGGGAAGAAGATTTCAAAGAAAACAGGTGTCTATTTTCTTGTCCAATCTCATGGTATTATCTTTATCATGACAGCAGCACCTGTAGCAAATCTGTAGTATAGTGACTCATATCCTTCAATCTGTGTTTTTTCTTCAGGTCACAGTGACCTGGGGCTGCCTGTTCAGCCTGAACCTACATGGGTACACATGGAAAAAGTGGAGTATGACAAGTTAGAGTGGATGAGGGACCTTCCACCTCCCAGCACCGGGGATGCAAAGGTAGACATTACTTAACACTTAGAGACACTTCAGTAATTGGATAGACGACTTAAAGTAAAAGCTCAATTTGTATTTTCAGACAAATTGTTCTACATTTGTGAGATGCAATGTTTGAGACATTGTTCTACATTTGTCAAATATAGTGTTTGAGACATTGTTCTACATTTGTCAGATACAGTGTTTGAGACATTGTTCTACATTTGTCAGATACAGTGTTTGAGACATTGTTCTACATTTGTCAGATACAGTGTTTGAGACATTGTTCTACATTTGACAGATACCATGTTGACACAGTTGTACATAAGCGAGGTAACATGTTTCCACACATGTCAGATACTATATGAGTCACAGTTATAGACTTGTTGTACAATGTCACATCTCCAAACCAGTGCACTGGCTGACAAATCAGTATTTAATGTATTACAGAATGGCCTACCAGCTAGATTTGATTTCCATGGCAACATTCTTCCAGCAGATTCTGACTTACCTGTCAATCAAGGTCTACATCACCATGGCAATGAACCAGAGGTTGGTTTCTTTTCACATTTCGTGTAGAAGACAATGATTTGGAGATGATTTGTGATTGGAACATCGGTAGCCTTACATTAAAGAAACACACACCCTTCCTGAATGTGATTGCTTCATTGTAGATGTAGCTAAGTAATTCAATATGTCCGAGACACACCAGCCTCCAAATACACAATGCCTGTTAGAAAGTAGTCAAATGTGTTACATTTGTACAGTGTAATCTTAAATGTGACACATGCTGCACCTGCCTCTGCTCATTACAATCTATAAAGTTCCCAGCAATCTATGCAGGTCATAAGTGGAAACATAATGGATTGGTTGGTCAGTGTTTTGTTGTGTTCCCTGTTTCTCTATAGAGTGGATCGTTTGTTCACAATATTGATACTTTATTATCTGGTCCAAACTTGATTGTTTCGAGGCCCGGTTCTGTAAACTGGTACTGTAAACTGGCTCCATGTCCTTGCTGCTGCTAGCACTTAAACTGGCTCCATGTTCTTGTTGTTGCTAGCACTTAAAACCGGCTCCATGTACTTACTGTTGCTAGCTCTGTTTACTGGCTCCATGTACTTGTTGTTGCTAGCACTTAAAACCGGCTCCATGTACTTACTGTTGCTAGCTCTGTTTACTGGCTCCATGTTCTTGTTGTTGCTAGCACTGTTAACCGGCTCCATGTACTTGCTGTTGCTAGCTCTGTTTACTGGCTCCATGTACTTGCTGTTGCTAGCTCTGTTAACTGGCTCCGTGTACTTTCTGTTGCTAGCTCTGTTTACTGGCTCCATGTACTTGCTGTTGCTAGCTCTGTTAACTGGCTCCATGTACTTACTGTTGCTAGCTCTGTTTACTGGCTCCATGTACTTGCTGTTGCTAGCTCTGTTAACTGGCTCCATGTACTTGCTGTTGCTAGCTCTGTTAACTGGCTCCATGTACTTGCTGTTGCTAGCTCTGTTAACCGGCTCCATGTACTTGCTGTTGCTAGCTCTGTTTACTGGCTCCATGTACTTGCTGTTGCTAGCTCTGTTAACTGGCTCCATGTACTTGCTTACTGTTGCTAGCTCTGTTTACTGGCTCCATGTACTTTGTTGTTGCTAGCTCTGTAAAACCGACTCCATGTACTTGCTGTTGCTAGTCTCTGTTAACTGGCTCCATGTACTTGTGTTGCTAGCTCTGTAACTGGCTCCATGTTGCTAGCTCTGTTTACTGGCTCTGTGTACTTACTGTTGCTAGCTCTGTTAACTGGCTCCATGAACTTGCTGTTGCTAGCTCTGTTAACTGGCTCCATGTACTTGCTGTTGCTAGCTCTGTTAACTGGCTCCATGTACTTGCTGTTGCTAGCTCTGTTAACTGGCTCCATGTACTTGCTGTTGCTAGCTCTGTTAACTGGCCCCATGTACTTGCTGTTGTCTAGCAGTAGCACTGTTCACTGGCTCCATGTACTTGCTGTTGCTCTATCTATCTGCCATTGCTAGCACTGTTTATCAACTCTGTATGTCTGCTGTTGATGGCACTGTCAACCGGCTCCTTGTACTTCTAGCGAGCAGGTTACACCCTGGAGGAGATGTTCCAGCTGGCCCGGAGCTCCAACATTCAGCAGAGGACACTAGCGCTGCAGGTGCTTGCCCGGGTCATATCCAAGGTGAGACACACAACAGGATTCTCACAGACTTAATATATCTCTGACAGATTCATGTTGTCTGCTATTGTTCGAATTTGACCTTTTATTCACTAGATTTCTCATGGTAATACCATTCCTTGGTGACAATGTACCATATATATTACAGTGTAACCATTTTTATTTAGCACATGTTGTAGTGATCTGCTTGTCATGACCAGTTTTATTAAAGAGATGTCTTGCTGTGATATGCATGTTATTGAGAGTTTCATGAATCACATGATCTGCATGTTATTGACAGTTTCATGAATCATATGATCTGCATGTTATTGACAGTTTCATGAATCACATGATCTGAATGGCATTGACAGTTTCATGAATCACATGATCTGAATGGCATTGACAGTTTCATGAATCACATGATCTGCATGTTATTGAGTTTCATGAATCACATGATCTGCATGTTATTGACAGTTTCATGAATCAAATGATCTGCATGTTATTGACAGTTTCATGAATCAAATGATCTGCATGTTATTGACAGTTTCATGAATCAAATGATCTGCATGTTATTGAGAGTTTCATGAATCAAATGATCTGCATGTTATTGACAGTTTCATGAATCAAATGATCTGCATGTTATTGACAGTTTCATGAATCAAATGATCTGCATGTTATTGAGAGTTTATGAATCACATGATCTGCATGTTATTGAGAGTTTCATGAATTACATGATGTGCATGTTATTGACAGTTTCATGAATCACGTGATCTGCATGTGTACTGATCTGCGTGTTCAGGCTAAGAGAGGAGCATATCGAGATGTTGTTCAGTCCCCGATCTTGCCGGCTGTCCTGGAGTCTGGAGTGGTGTTCCTGTTCCGCTGGGCTCTAGACGACACTGTTGACACAGTTCTTGCTGCAGCTGTTGCTGCCATGCATGCCCTCATCTGTAACCCAGCAGATCAGGTACGTGTCCCAACTGGTGTGATGCCAGTTAGAACTGTCCCTAAGTGTTCATGCTGTCATCAAGTAGGTTTCTCATGTGGAGTTGGGACAGAACTGACTCCAGTGTGCAGGTTGTCATCTGGTGGGCTTCTCATGTGGGGCATCTGGAACAGAACTGACTCCAGTGTGCAGGCTGTCGTCAGGTAGGCTTCTTATGTGGGGAGTCCACTAGAGAACTGAACCCAGTGTGCAGCCTTCGTGCTTCTGATCTGGCTTTATCAAGTGACATATACATAGGGTATGTAACTTAGATGATAGCTGGAGGGTGTAGTTCACAAGAAGAATACCGAATCTGTTTGTGTCCATGCAGCTTGGTAACATTCATACTAGCTTATTTAGTATACGGTCCTTGCCTGGTTATGTTTGACCTGAGATGACAAACTGAAAATGTCATTGTTTACTGTCAATGTGACAATATCGTTCCTATACTGTGTGACATTGTATGATGACAACCTTTCTCACTGGTTCCAGGAGTGCCTGGACAGATGCTTCAGCTGGTTTCAAGGTCATGTGATGCCGGGTCAGTGTCCGGTTACCATGGAGAGTGAGCGCCAGGATGGGGAGGAGACTGTTGAGGAGACGGATGCTGAAGTAGCCAAGAGAGACATAGTTCTGGTAAGATATGTCTTTGTTACTGTAGTTGCTGTGACAGGTCATGATCTGATTGTGATTACCCGTGAAGATCCGGGTTAGAATTGTTCTTCAGTAACCCATGCTTGTCATAGGAGGCGACTAACGGGATCGGGTAGTCAGGTTCGCTGACTGGGTTGGCACATGACATCGTATCCCAATTGTTAAGATTGATGTTCATGCTGTTGATCCCTGGATTGTCTGGTCCAGACTCGATTATTGACAGACCGCCGCCATATAGCTAGAATATTGCTGAGTGCGGCCTAAAACTAAACTTACTAACACACTCACTCTGATTGTGGTACTAACATCATCTTAAAGGTCCTGATTTGGGGGAATTGAAGGGAAATGCTTGTTCATTGTGTTGCATGTGGTTGTTGGCAATTCATATTTTTCATTAAGATTAGGTTGTACTGATACACACATTGGGTTGTACTGATACACACATTGGGTTGTACTGATACACACATTGGGTTGTACAGATACACACATTGGGTTGTACCGATACACACATTGGGTTGTACTGACACACATTGGGTTGTACTGACACACATTGGGTTGTAGTGACACACATTGGGTTGTACTGATACACACATTGGGTTGTACAGATACACACATTGGGTTGTACCGATACACACATTGGGTTGTACTGACACACATTGGGTTGTACTGACACACATTGGGTTGTACTGACACACATTGGGTTGTACTGATACACACATTGGGTTGTACAGATACACACATTGGGTTGTACCGATACACACATTGGGTTGTACTGACACACATTGGGTTGTACTGACACACATTTGGTTGTACCGATACACACACTGGGTTGTACTGATACACACATTGGGTTGTACCGATACACACATTGGGTTGTACCGATACACACATTGGGTTGTACCGATACACACATTGGGTTGTACCGATACACACATTGGGTTGTACCGATACACACATTGGGTTGTACTGATACACACATTGGGTTGTATACACACCGATTTGGGTTGTACCGATACACACATCGGGTTGTACCGATACACACATTGGGTTGTACCGATACACACATTGGGTTGTACCGATACACACATTGGGTTGTACTGATACACACATTGGGTTGTACCGATACACACATTGGGTTGTACCGATACACACATTGGGTTGTACTGATACACACATTGGGTTGTACTGATACACATTGGGTTGTACATGACAAGGCCAGGTGTGTGAATGACTCAGGTGAGGATTACTGAACATTCATTGTCTTTTCTGGGTGTCTGTGTGAAACGATGGAAGTTAACATCAAGTGTTGATTGGAGGGCTTGTGTGTGTGTGTGAGCCTGACGATGTTCACTGAACACCAGGTGTTACATGTAGAATGTGTTGTGTGAGAATGTCAATATTCCCCTTGTTGTGTTTGATGCACCGTGCCATTTGCAGGGCGGGTATGAATCTGTGTGTATTGAACACCAGGCGTTACATGTAGAATGTGTTGTGAGAATGTCAATATTCCCATTCATGTGTTTGATGCACAGTGTCATTTGCAGGGCGGGTATGAATCTGTGTGTATTGAACACCAGGTGTTACATGTAGAATGTGTTGTGAGAATGTCAATATTCCCCTTGATGTGTTTGATGCACAGTGTCATTTGCAGGGCGGGTATGAATCTGTGTGTATTGAACACCAGGTGTTTGTCATGCAGAATGTGTTGTGAGAATGTCAATATTCCCCTTCATGTGTTTGATGCACAGTGTCATTTGCAGGGCGGGTATGAATCTGTGTGTATTGAACTCCAGGTGTTTGTTGCAGTGCCTGGTGTCCCGAATGGTGCTGCTCCAGCGACTGCGGCATATACTGGAGACTCGGAAACCCCAGGCTGTGACGGTGTTACAGGTCCTGGACATGCTGACCAAGACAGCCCAGCACTCCCCCAGTCTGGCATACGAGGTACAGGAACTCACCATCATCTATTGAGTAGACTCTAACCACAGGTTTATCAAGGATTCCAAACTATAAAGTAATACTCTTCAAAATGGATTATGTGATACTCTTATTTTCATAAATTAAGAGGTGTCAAGGAATATTTTAGTAAAACCCTGTGTCTCCCAACCTTTACTTTGCTGCAGATTTGGGAATATCAGCCTAAACTTATATTATGGACAAACAATATTGTAGCACATTTTCATCTATGGGTATTTTTCTAGATAGTACATTGTCCAAGGCTGCTGGACGTGGTGTTTCAAGAATTTTGCCCACAGCTTGGGGATCCTCAAGGTGAGTTACCTAACACTACAGTGTATGCTGGATTCTGGTTATGGAGAATGCTGGATTCTTGTGTGTTGGGTTCTCCTCAGCCAAGTGGTTACTTGTCATGCCGAGGTAGCCAAGTGGTTACTTGTCATGCTACTTTACGCCAAATCTACTAAAACCTACCTACCCATTTACCATTCTTCAATGAGGTACATAATATGGAGCCCTACTGGGTCTGATTGCCCACATTAGTACACTCTGTTAAGCCCTGCTTCTTTTCTGGAACAAAATGAAGGCCCCAGAGTCCAACACATCCTTGACAAATATTATCAAATTACATATCCAGAGGAGGATCAGCTGTGAGGCAGATCATAATTAAGAGAAATCACTTCGTGTCAAGGAATATTTTAGTAAAACCTCCTCTCATAGACCTATAAACCTTGATTTTGGTCTCGCCTTTACTGGCCAGCGGGAACATGGTTTCCAGACTTGCCTCACTTTGCTGCAGATTTGGGAATGTCAGCCTAAACTTACTTATGAAGATTTTGTAAACATCACCATTGACTATCTTACTTTAGTATTATGGACAAACAATATTATTGTAGCACATTTTATGGGTATTTTTTCTAGATAGTACATTGTCCAAGGCTGCTGGACGTGGTGTTTCAAGAATTTTTGCCCACAGCTTGGGATCCTCAAGGTGAGTTACCTAACACTGTAGTGTATGCTGGATTTTGGTTATGGAGAATGCTGGATTCTTGTGTTGGGTAGCCAAGTGGTTACTTGTCATGCCGAGGTAGCCAAGTGGTTACTTGTCATGCTGAGGTACTGGGTCTGATTGCCCACATTAGTACACTCTGTTAAGCCCTGCTTCTTTTCTGGAACGAAATGAAGGCCCCAGAGTCCAACACATCCTTGACAAATATTATCAAATTACATATCTCTATCACGTTTCTAAATTGTTGGTGATGATAATGTTGATGAACTCACGCTTGTCTTGCTGTGTGTGATATATAGCTTCCCTGTTGTTCATTGCTTCCCCTGTTAGTGTTCCCCCTAGGATTCAGAAAGGGCAGGGTAACTTAAAAAAAAGGGCACTTCATAATCTAAAAGGGCATTTTGGTGAGGTTTATTGAAAAAATAACAATAACAAAATGTTGATTCTTTCCTTGGTAGGCATTGTGATTTGTAAAGCGAATTAAACACATTTGACTTCGCCATGGTTTAAATGCCAATTTCCTAATCATTATCAAAACAAGTTTGCGTCTCCCCTTGAAAGGGAGAGAACTCCGTCCTTAATAAAATCCGGAAAATACACACGGGTTGTAAAATCAAGCACAGCTGAAAAAAAACTGGGATTGAGGCAAAAAGGGCAGGGCTCAAAAACCAAAGGGCAGGGCGCAGCGCCCTCCTTAATGTTCCTAGGGGGAACACTACCTGTTGTACATTGCTTCCCCTGTTGTACATTGCTTCCTCTGTTGTACATTGCTTCCTGTTGTACATTGATTCCTCTGTTGTACATTGCTTCCCCTCCTGTTGTACATTGCTTCCTCCTGTTGTACATTGCTTCCTCTGTTGTACATTGTTGTACACATTGCTTCCTCCTGTTGTACATTGCTTCCCCTGTTGTACATTGCTTCCTCTGTTGTACATTGCTTCCTCCTGTTGTACATTGCTTCCCCTGTTGTACATTGCTTCCCCTGTTGTACATTGCTTCCTCTGTTGTACATTGCTTCCTCTGTTGTACATTGCTTCCTCCTGTTGTACATTGCTTCCTCTGTTGTACATTGCTTCCCCTGTTGTACATTGCTTCCCCTGTTGTACATTGCTTCCCCTGTTGTACATTGCTTCCCCTGTTGTACATTGATTCCCCTGTTGTACATTTCCCCTGCTTCCATTGCTGTTGTACATTGCTTCCCCTGTTGTACATTGCTTCCCCTGTTGTACAGTAGCTCATTGCTTCCCTCTGTTGTACATTGCTTCCTCTGTTGTACATTGCTTCCCCCTGTTGTACATTGCTTCCTCTGTTGTACATTGCTGTTGTACATTGCTTCCCCTGTTGTACATTGCTTCCCCTGTTGTACATTGCTTCTGTTGTACATTGCTGTTGTACATTGCTTCCCCTGTTGTACATTGCTTCCTCTGTTGTACATTGCTTCCATGTTGTACAGTGCTTCTGTTATACTTGCTGTTGTACATTGCTTCCTCCTGTTGTACATTGCTTCCTCTGTTGTACATTGCTTCCCCCTGTTGTACATTGCTTCCTCTGTTGTACATTGCTTCCTCCTGTTGTACATTGCTTCCCCTGTTGTACATTGCTTCCTCTGTTGTACATTGCTTCCTCTGTTGTACATTGATTCCCCAGTTGTACATTGCTTCCTCTGTTGTACATTGCTTCCTCTGTTGTACATTGCTTCCTCTGTTGTACATTGCTTCCCCTGTTGTACATTGCTTCCCCTGTTGTACATTGCTTCCCCTGTTGTACATTGCTTCCCCTGTTGTACATTGCTTCCTCTGTTGTACATTGCTTCCTCTGTTGTACATTGCTTCCCCTGTTGTACATTGCTTCCCTTGTTGTACATTGCTTCCCCTGTTGTACATTGCTTCCTCTGTTGTACAGTGCTTCCCCTGTTGTACATTGCTTCCTCTGTTGTACATTGCTTCCCCTGTTGTACATTGCTTCCCTGTTGTACATTGCTTCCCCTGTTGTACATTGCTTCCCCTGTTGTACATTGCTTCCCCTGTTGTACATTGCTTCCCCTGTTGTACATTGCTTCCTCTGTTGTACATTGCTTCCTCTGTTGTTTCCTCTGTTGTACATTCTTTTTTCTGTTGTACATTGCTTCCCCCTTTTGTACATTGCTTCCCCTGTTGTACATTGCTTCTGTTGTACATTGCTTCCCCTGTTGTACATTGCCTCCTCTGTTGTACATTGCTTCCTCTGTTGTACAGTGCTTCCTCTGTTGTACATTGCTTCCCCTGTTGTACAGTGCTTCCCCTGTTGTACATTGCCAGACTCTAATGCCCAGCTGTCCAGCGTGTATGGCCTCCCGCTGACTACGGCTCTGAGACTGGTCGCGGCACTGTGCCAGGCTGGCCGGAATATGGCAGCACATATGGTAATGTCCCTACACAGCACAGAGGAATATAATTCATATACTTTTTTAAAATCTGTTGCTATACACCTGAATGGACATATTTGAAAATTTGGACCATGGTAACTGTTCCAAGGCAACAGCTGTTTGTTAGTTTATCAACCTGCTAACCTTGTGTGATACAACCTTTGTCCGTGGCCTTGTGGAGGAACAGTCTTCCTGTTCAGGTGTAAAAGACACAAATTGTGGGATAACTGTTACATTCACAAAACTTAGTAATGTCATCTATTATAAGTTTTGCTTCTGTCAGCAAATGGAAATAAATAACAGCCATTTAGCATTCATTTTTTTTACCAAAATGACCGTTTGAAGTCAGAATCATCATTGCCTGTAAGATGTATAGTTTGACCTTTAGACTGATGTTTAATGGAGAAGCAAATGACAAACATTGACTCATTTCTCTTATTTCAGGTATCAAAATATAAACTACAGAACATAATAATGAGGTATATGGCAGTGAAAACAAGGTAATTTCATCTTTACTGTTGACTCCCGTATGACCGCTTAGTACATCCAGAGCACCTGTTGTCTAAATCTTAGGTTACCTCCCCTGACAGTGAACATCAGTATTGAGTACCAGTAATTTCATCTCCGTTACTGTTGACTCCCGTATGACCGCTTAGTACATCCAGAGCACCTGTTGTCTAAATCTTGGGTTACCTCCCCTGACTGTATGAACATCAGTATTGAGTACCAGTAATTTCATCTCCGTTACTGTTGACTCCCGTATGACCGCTTAGTACATCCAGAGCACCTGTTGTCTAAATCTTGGGTTACCTCCCCTGACTGTGAACATCAGTATTGAGTACCAGTAATTTCATCTCCGTTACTGTTGACTCCCGTATGACCGCTTAGTACATCCAGAGCACCTGTTGTCTAAATCTTGGGTTACCTCCCCTGACAGAGTGAACATCAGTATTGTGTACCAGTAATTTCATCTCCGTCACTGTTGACTCCCGTATGACTGCTTAGTACATCCAGAGCACCTTTTGTCTAAATCTTGGGTTACCTCCCCTGACTGTGAACATCAGTATCGAGTAACAGCTTTAGCATGGGAGAGTCCGATTTCTGTGCTGGAATTTCTGTTACTGGGCACATGTAAATATCCTGTTTGGGCATCTTCTCTGTACCTGCTATAGCTTCTTAACAAGGCCGGGCCAGTGGGGTATCCTAGTGGTTAAAGTGTTTGTTTGTCACTCTGAGGGTCCTGGTTCGATTCCCAACATGGGTACAATGTGAGAAGCCCATTTCTTGTGTCCCCCACCATGATATTGCTGGAATATTGCTTAAAGCAACGTAAAACTAGACTCACTAACTCACTCAACAGGGCCTGGGTAGGTGAAGATGGGTGAGTCTGGTGGTTGAAGCATCTGTTGATCATGTCAAGGGCTGGGTTTGATTCCCCTCATTACTACAGTGTGTGAAGCTTGAATAGTTCTCTCCCACCTTGATAAGGCTTGAATAGTTCTTAGAGCAATGTAAAACCATACTATTCATGATAGAATAGCTGATGTTTTTGATTCTTTAGCCATAAAATCTCTGACAGAGCATCTGTTGTCTGTGTCTGAATCTGTTGTCTGTTGTGTTCACGTCTCATCCACAGAGCTTGTGACAGAGCATCTGTTGTCTGTTGTGTTCGCGTCTCATCCACAGAGCCTGTGACAGAGCATCTGTTGTCTGTTGTGTTCGCGTCTCATCCACAGAGCCTGTGACAGAGCATCTGTTGTCTGTTGTGTTCACGTCTCATCCACAGAGCCTGTGACAGAGCATCTGTTGTCTGTTGTGTTCGCGTCTCATCCACACAGCCTGTGACAGAGCATCTGTTGTCTGTTGTGTTCGCGTCTCATCCACACAGCCTGTGACAGAGCATCTGTTGTCTGTTGTGTTCACGTCTCATCCACAGAGCCTGTGACAGAGCATCTGTTGTCTGTTGTGTTCGTCATCCACACAGCCTGTGACAGAGCATCTGTTGTCTGTTGTGTTCACGTCTCATCCACAGAGCCTGTAACAGAGCATCTGTTGTCTGTTGTGTTCGGTGATCTCATCCACAGAGCCTGTGACAGAGCATCTGTTGTCTGAAATGTTGCAGACCCAGAGTGTTCGTGTGTGGAGGATCTGTCTGTCCTATGGACTTGCCACACAGACATATCTGTAAGACTGATGTTTCCATCAGACAAGTAACACATGAAAATATAGACAAATTATCTTTTAAATAACTATACATGAGAAATAATGATGTAAGGACAAACGCTAACCTCGAAAATATTATATCCATGAATTTTTCTGAACTTCAAACCTTTAGGTTAGATTTCCTGTCTAAAAGCATTTCAACTGCTGGCAACAATGACTTCCTGACATGCGCACACTCTTTAATGCCTGTCTACAACTAATCTTAACGTTCAGTGACCCTGAGCGGCCTGAATAAACAAACAACAGAAATGCGTGTCGAGACTGTTTAATTGTGTTGTAATTGTTGGTCCAGAATCTCATCCACAAAGCAATGAGTGTCTTACATGTGACAGTCAGCACCAACTGTCAATACTGTTGTCACTCTCTGGCCTCATCCACACAGCCAGGTTTGAGCATCTGTTGTCGTTTGTGTTTACACAAACATCCACAGAGCCTGTAACAGAGCATCTGTTGTCCGCTAAAGAGGTCATCTTGTCAGCTTTCTAACAACAACAGAGCATCTTCAGCAGAGACCCATCATACATGCTTATGTTAGTTGTTTAAAAACAATATCGCCTGAGAAAAATGGCGCCTGTTTGTTGAACACTGCCATCTGAGTGTTTCACAGCATTTATCACAACAAAGGATCAAAGGGTTGTTTTCACTACTATTAGTGACTCTACCGGTAGTTATAACAGTCAGACGGCAGTTATCACTGGCTAAATGTTGCAGACTCCAGAGTATTAATCCGTAAGTGGAGGATCTGTCTGTCCTATGGACTTGCCACACAGACATATCTGTAAGACTGATGTTTCCATCAGACAAGTAACACATGAAAATATAGACAAATTATCTTTGAAATAAATATACATGAGAAATCATGATGTAAGGACATATTCTACTGTGGTATCTGTCAAGTCATAACAAGTTGTGACATTATAAAGGGGTTGAAATATTTTTAATTCTGTGACATCAAGCTAATTGTGCAGTAAATTCCTTGTGACATCTTAAAATGTGTTATATAAACACGTGTTGCTCTTCACGAGTTGTAAGCATTTCGTTGTGCTTGACTATTGTTCACCACTATTAAGTATGAATCTGTCACTGATGCTCTTCCTCTTCCAGAGACCTCTATTCCACCCTGGTGGGTTACATCCAGTCTGCTCTTGACCCTGGAGGACGTCCCAGTAGCCAGCAGATGGAGGCGGCCATGTTGGCTTGCTGCGAGACTGTTGTCAGTGTCGCTGGTTCTGTTAAGCCATCCACTGGTTTTGTCAGGAGGTAAGTCTTGTAATGAAATGAAGAATCACAATCACTGGTGAAATAACTGATCAGATTGTATTAATTCTCTTGATGTGCAGATAATTGATAGTTTCAGCTGATACGAGTAATAAACTTGTGATAATACATAAGAAGATGCAGAGTTACAGGGGAAAGGTTGTGTTGTTGTTATTCTGGTTTTGCTTATCTGGTAAGAAAACATTTCATCTACTGGCAGATTTCCTGCCACCTGCTCTCCAGTGAAACTAACATGACAAATCAGTTTCATTTTCTATAGTCTCAAGAAGAAAGCTGTACACAGACAAAACAATTTTCAACCATGATACCCCAAGTTATTTTAATTTTGCCTGTTCAGCATTATTAGTAGACACATGAACATCGGGTTACATGAGAAATGTTGGCAAATTCCAGATCCATGAAGATCTGAGTTAGATCTCTAGCAGACCTTGCTTGTAAACGGCAACTAAAGGATCAGGTAGTCAGGTTCAGTAGCTGGGTTGATGCTTGACATCATATCCCGGTTACAGGCAGATGCTCCTGATGCCTTTCACTGGATTGTGTCTTCCTGGCGCGACACAGTCCACTGTCCTCGAGCTGGAATATTGTTGAGCATAACATTTAAAAGACAAATAATATTACAGCAAGTATGAGTTGTTAGTTGAAAGAGATAATCGTTACTGGAGAACATTACTGGTCCACTTGCAGCCATGATGGCAGTGCCATGGAGACTGAGGGTAGTGAGGAGGTTATCTCCCCTGATGTGAACTGGAGCCATGTGGCTGGGTTGTACCAGCCGATAACCAGCTGTGTGCAGAGTGTATTGGAAGACATCAAAGACAACTATCAGTTTAAGGTACATACTCCTTATGATCTAAAACATGTTACCTTAACTAATACAATTTTATATGTATGATTGTGCTAAAAGAGCTATGCATTTTTAATACATTTCTTTAAAATGTCAAATAAGATGATATTTTAGCCTTGTACAAACATATCTTTAAGTCAATAGAACGTATATTTTCAGAAATGTGAACTTCACTTTGCAACATCTTGTGTCAACTTCCTTGCAACTTTCTACCACCAACTGCAGAAACAGGTAACACCCAGCCCATCTACTTACTTGCTCTAAAGACTGGTAGAAATAAGTAATGCCATATATTAGTAATATATCTGGCTTATCTATGCTATTCTCCTAAATACTGATAAGGGTACAGGGGTAGATGAGTTAAAACAGATGATGATCTACCTTGTTTGTACATCCAGGTCATGGAGCACTGTATTAAGTTACTCAATTGTGGAAGACATGAGAAACATTTTGTGTCCTGAGGTGCTGCTGTTTAATTTGCGGTGAAGGTTTTACTCAAAGATATACAACTTGTGTAGCTTTACCACATACTGACCAAACTACACTCCTCAAAAGAAGTTAAGGTCCATCCATGTCTTACATATTACCTTTGTTAAAGTGTTACGGCAAGAGAGATAAACTACACCTTGACATGTGGTTGGGAAGGCTAGGTATTAGTCACTGACTGGTGTGTGTTCCAGCCTACCTACAGCCCCGTCCAGTGTCTGCAGGAGGTGGAGGAGTTCTGCTGCAAGACTCTAGTCCCTTGCTGGAAGTCACTTGGTTTGAAAACTGTCCTCAGTAACTTAAGGTAATCTTGTGTAAAATGCAGTTGCTGACACCCATGGATCTGTCCAGAGGAATTATACTTGCAAAAAACTTCAAAAGCTTCTGTAGGGTTCAATGTCTGTCACCCATGAATCTGTAAGAAGTATTTAGTCTTTCTTAACTTTAAATTCTTTCTCTGGACATAACATTGTGTTAAATTGTCAGTCAGTGGCCTGGCAGGGTGACTAGGTTGATCAGGTGTCAACTGTGCTTTGCTGGAACATATTACTGACGCGTTAAAACCTCACACTGGTCCCACTCCCACACCCGCTGTGATGATGTATCATACCATGGTTAGTGATACAGTAGTTTCTGTAGACTGCACCTTCAAGTAGTGTAGTATGGGCTCATATTACTCTAGATAATCTGTCATGCCTTGACAGCGTTCTTCAGTATCTGCTGCGTATAGCAGTGCTTGAATGTCTACAGCGTCTTGATGACACCAGTAATCTGTGTTCCAGCCAGCACTCCAACCTCTTGTCCCCACCTGAGTGTCCCAGCCAGGAGGTAGCCTCATGTCTGGTGGAGTTGCAGGCCTCTCAGCCAGACGGAGACTTCACAGCTCCAGTCCTCCAACCCCACTCCCCATATGGCTTCCTGACAGCCTTGCTGAGACTGACACTTGTCCTGTGTCAGCTACACAAGGGTGTCATTGACACTTGTGCCCCTGTCAGCTACACAAGGGTGTCATTGACAAGGTGAGTGCCCCTCTGTTACAAAGGTGTCATTGACAAGATGAGTGCCCCTCAGTTACAAAGGTGTCATTGACAAGGTGAGTGCCCCTCTGTTACAAAGGTGTCATTGACAAGATGAGTGCCCCTCAGTTACAAAGGTGTCATTGACAAGATGAGTGCCCCTCTGTTACAAAGGTGTCATTGACAAGATGAGTGCCCCTCTGTTACAAAGGTGTCATTGACAAGATGAGTGCCCTCAGTTACAAAGGTGTCATTGACAAGATGAGTGCCCTCGACACAAAGGTCATTGACAAGATGAGTGCCCTCAGTTACAAAGGTGTCATTGACAAGGTGAGTGCCCCTCAGTTACAAAGGTGTCATTGACAAGATGAGTGCCCCTCAGTTACAAAGGTGTCATTGACAAGATGAGTGCCCCTCAGTTACAAAGGTGTCATTGACAAGATGAGTGCCCCTCAGTTACAAAGGTGTCATTGACAAGGTGAGTGCCCCTCTGTTACAAAGGTGTCATTGACAAAGTGAGTTCCCCTCTGGTACAAAGGTGTTGTTGACAAGGTGAGTGCCCTCTGGTTACAAAGGTGTCATTGACAAGGTGAGTTCCTCTGTTACAAAGGTGTCATTGACAAGATGAGTTCCCCTCTGTTACAAAGGTGTCATTGATAAGGTGAGTTCCCCTCTGTTACAAAGGTGTCATTGACAAGGTGAGTTCCCCTCTGTTACAAAGGTGTCATTGACAAGGTGAGTTCCTCTTTGCTCCGGTCCTCCTATCCCATTCCTCACATGGCTTCTTGACATCCTTACTGATCTAGACAAGGGTATTATTGACAAGCTGACAATATAAACTCAGTGACTGTTTTCATGGATGGGTCACTTGAGATAATTTGTATCATTTAGTCATATATCCGTCCAAGATGACAGCCATACTAGAAATCTGCTTCAGACCTTGTTTTACACATGTACGCTCTTCATTTCAGTGTCACAATGTTATTGTGTCTGTTGCAGATGTTGGTAGATGTGACTCAGGACGAAGACTTGATGAGTTACATGAAGAAAGTGTCTCACAACAAACCGTCCTGCTTGGTGGACAACTACTTCACAAGACATGAGAACTACCTCCAGTACTACTTCCTGAAGCTGGCAGCGCTCAAGGTCAGTCCAATAGCAGCCCTACACACAAGCAAACACGCAGCTCTGTATGAGTGTTAGTATTGTTAATGAGACAAAAACACAATTCACCTCCTACTTCAACCGGCTTGCTTGGAGAAAGAGAGAAAGTTAGATCTTAGCTCATGTACAAGCACCAAACCCGGAACCAGCTGTTTCATATGTTACAGTGAAGTGGTCTGAAGTCATTATTCCTGGATGCTCTATCAATTGAAATCATCCAGGTTTAGGTTGAATTCAAGTATTTCTTGTTTCAGCCTGGACCCAGCATGTCCATCCTCCATCGCTGTGGCCTTCACCTTCTCAGTCGACTGAAAGACGGGGATGAGTACCTGGCCTTTGACCTTCTCTCCACCACCATCTTCAGCCCTGACTTCATCACGTAAGTGGGACTACACAGTTATATTTCCATGGTCAATGAATCAATATACACTTGAAGTTTGTTTCTTTCGTCCAGTTGACGGTCAAGGTGTTATCTCTGAAAGACAGATGAGGGAGATGGGGTGTTATGAATGACGGGCAACTGACTGTGATGGGGTGTTATAAATGAAGGCCAGTTGAGTGTGATGGGGTGTTATAAATGAAGGCCAGTTGACTCTGATGGAGTGTTATAAATGAAGGCCAGTTGACTGTGATGGGGTGTTATAAATGAAGGCCAGTTGACTCTGATGGAGTGTTATAAATGAAGGCCAGTTGACTGTGATGGGGTGTTATAAATGAAGGCCAGTTGACTGTGATGGAGTGTTATAAATGAAGGCCAGTTGACTCTGATGGAGTGTTATAAATGAAGGCCAGTTGACTGTGATGGAGTGTTATAAATGAAGGCCAGTTGACTGTGATGGGGTGTGTTATAAAATGAAGGCCAGTTGACTGTGATGGAGTGTTATAAATGAAGGCCAGTTGACTCTGATGGAGTGTTATAAATGAAGGCCAGTTGACTCTGATGGAGTGTTATAAATGAAGGCCAGTTGACTGTGATGGAGGTGTTATAAATGAAGGCCAGTTAAGTGTGATGGGGTGTTATAAATGAAGGCCAGTTGACTCTGATGGAGTGTTATAAATGAAGGCCAGTTGACTGTGATGGGGTGTTATAAATGAAGGCCAGTTGACTGTGATGGAGTGTTATAAATGAAGCCCAGTTGACTCTGATGGAGTGTTATAAATGAAGGCCAGTTGACTCTGATGGAGTGATATAAATGAAGGCCAGTTGACTCTAATGGAGTGTTATAAATGAAGGCCAGTTGACTCTGATGGAGTGTTATAAATGAAGGCCAGTTGACTGTGATGGAGTGTTATAAATGAAGGCCAGTTGCCTGTGATGGGGTGTTATAAATGAAGGCCAGTTGACTCTGATGGAGTGTTATAAATGAAGCCCAGTTGACTCTGATGGAGTGTTATAAATGAAGGCCAGTTGACTGTGATGAGGTGTTATAAATGAAGGCCAGTTAAGTGTGATGGGGTGTTATAAATGAAGGCCAGTTGACTCTGATGGAGTGTTATAAATGAAGGCCAGTTGACTGTGATGGGGTGTTATAAATGAAGGCCAGTTGCCTGTGATGGGGTGTTATAAATGAAGGCCAGTTGCCTGTGATGGGGTGTTATAAATGAAGGCCAGTTGACTCTGATGGAGTGTTATAAATGAAGCCCAGTTGACTCTGATGGAGTGTTATAAATGAAGGCCAGTTGACTGTGATGAGGTGTTATAAATGAAGGCCAGTTAAGTGTGATGGGGTGTTATAAATGAAGGCCAGTTGACTCTGATGGAGTGTTATAAATGAAGGCCAGTTGACTGTGATGGGGTGTTATAAATGAAGGCCAGTTGACTGTGATGGAGTGTTATAAATGAAGGCCAGTTGACTCTGATGGGGTGTTATAAATGAAGGCCAGTTGACTGTGATGGGGTGTTATAAATGAAGGCCAGTTGCCTGTGATGGGGTGTTATAAATGAAGGCCAGTTAAGTGTGATGGGGTGTTATAAATGAAGGCCAGTTGACTGTGATGGAATGTTATAAATGAAGGCCAGTTGACTGTGATGGAGTGTTATAAATGAAGGCCAGTTGACTGTGATGGAGTGTTATAAATGAAGGCCAGTTGACTGTGATGAGGTGTTATAAATGAAGGCCAGTTGACTGTGATGGGGTGTTATAAATGAAGGCCAGTTGACTGTGATGGAGTGTTATAAATGAAGGCCAGTTGACTCTGATGGGGTGTTATAAATGAAGGCCAGTTGACTGTGATGGGGTGTTATAAATGAAGGCCAGTTGACTGTGATGGGTGTTATAAATGAAGGCCAGTTGACTCTGATGGAGTGTTATAAATGAAGCCCAGTTGACTCTGATGGAGTGTTATAAATGAAGGCCAGTTGACTGTGATGAGGTGTTATAAATGAAGCCCAGTTGACTCTGATGGAGTGTTATAAATGAAGGCCAGTTGACTGTGATGAGGTGTTATAAATGAAGGCCAGTTAAGTGTGATGGGGTGTTATAAATGAAGGCCAGTTGACTCTGATGGAGTGTTATAAATGAAGGCCAGTTGCCTGTGATGGGGTGTTATAAATGAAGGCCAGTTGACTGTGATGGGGTGTTATAAATGAAGGCCAGTTGCCTGTGATGGGGTGTTATAAATGAAGGCCAGTTTCCTGTGATGGGGTGTTATAAATGAAGGCCAGTTGACTCTGATGGAGTGTTATAAATGAAGGCCAGTTTCCTGTGATGGGGTGTTATAAATGAAGGCCAGTTGCCTGTGATGGGGTGTTATAAATGAAGGCCAGTTGACTCTGATGGAGTGTTATAAATGAAGGCCAGTTGACTCTGATGGAGTGTTATAAATGAAGGCCAGTTGCCTGTGATGGGGTGTTATAAATGAAGGCCAGTTGCCTGTGATGGGGTGTTATAAATGAAGGCCAGTTGACTCTGATGGAGTGTTATTAATGAAGGCCAGTTGACTCTGATGGAGTGTTATAAATGAAGGCCAGTTGCCTGTGATGGGGTGTTATAAATGAAGGCCAGTTGCCTGTGATGGGGTGTTATAAATGAAGGCCAGTTGCCTGTGATGGGGTGTTATAAATGAAGGCCAGTTGACTGTGATGAGGTGTTATAAATGAAGGCCAGTTGACTGTGATGGAGTGTTATAAATGAAGGCCAGTTGACTGTGATGGAGTGTTATAAATGAAGGCCAGTTGACTGTGATGGGGTGTTATAAATGAAGGCCAGTTGACTGTGATGGGGTGTTATAAATGAAGGCCAGTTGACTGTGATGGGGTGTTATAAATGAAGGCCAGTTGACTGTGATGGGGTGTTATAAATGAAGGCCAGTTGACTGTGATGGGGTGTTATAAATGAAGGCCAGTTGACTGTGATGGGATGTTATAAATGAAGGCCAGTTGACTGTGATGGGTGTTATAAATGAAGGCCAGTTGACTGTGATGGGGTGTTATAACTGAAGGCCAGTTGACTGTGATGGGGTGTTATAAATGAAGGCCAGTTGACTGTGATGGGGTGTTATAAATGAAGGCCAGTTGACTGTGATGGGATGTTATAAATGAAGGCCAGTTGACTGTGACGGGGTGTTATAAATGAAGGCCAGTTGACTGTGATGGGGTGTTATAACTGAAGGCCAGTTGACTGTGATGGGGTGTTATAACTGAAGGCCAGTTGACTGTGATGGGGTGTTATAAATGAAGGTCAGTTGACTGTCAAGGTGTTATCTCTGAAAGACAGATGAGGGAGATGGAGTGTTATAACTGAAACCCAGTTGACTCTGATGGAGTGATATAAATGAAGGTCAGTTGACTGTCAAGGTGTTATCTCTGAAAGACAGATGAGGGAGATGGAGTATTATAACTGAAACCCAGTTGACTGATGGAGTGATATAAATGAAGGTCAGTTGACTGTCAAGGTGTTATCTCTGAAAGACAGATGTGGGAGATGGAGTGTTATAACTGAAACCCAGTTGACTCTGATGGAGTGATATAAATGAAGGTCAGTTGACTGTCAAGGTGTTATCTCTGAAAGACAGATGAGGGAGATGGAGTGTTATAACTGAAACCCAGTTGACTCTGATGGAGTGATATAAATGAAGGCCAGTTGACTCTAATGGAGTGTTATGAATGAAGGCCAGTTGCCTGTGATGGGATGTGATAACTGAAGGCCAGTTGCCTCTGCTATGTCTGTTTTGTGATATGCTCCCTCCCTTCCCATCCTCACATCAGTGGTCAACATTTCAGAGATGGTAAGGAAGATGGACTGGCCTTTGAGGATCTGGGAGAGATGAAGCTCGCTGAGACTTCCCGCCTGAAGAGTGCAACACAAAGGGAGATAACTGCCAACCGCAGTCAACTGCTATCTGAGGTGTACACCAGACTGCCTGGTATCCGAGCCATGTACCTCTCGGCCTTCTCGGCCAGCCAGCAGGCAGTCACAGCATCCAGGTTCGATTTACCACAACTTCTGATCAGTCCGTGAAGACGAGTAGACAGGATGCAGCCGATTTGTCCTAGGTTACAAGCAGATGTCACTAAACAATCATTGGACCTCGATATTGTTTTAAAACAAATAGCAACTACGTGTAATGTTCAGAAAATGTCCATGTAGCTTGTCCTTTAATTCGATGATGAATTAACCGTTGGTCTAATTGTTTCACGCTGTTTAATGGTACTGCTATGTTTTCCTGTTCACAGCAACCGTCTGACTTGCAACACGGCTCACACAGACAGCCTCATGAGTTGCAGCTCAGGTGGAGGTGTGCTGCCTCGTGACTGGATGTACCTGCCTCTCATACAGCTCTATGTGAAAGCTTCAACTCCGTAAGTATGTGGTAGAGTTGGCTTGTCATTCTCCTGGAACATTGAGGTGGTATGTAGATTCTCAGCACTGTGCTACAGTGTACAGTGTGTGAACTCGGACCTCCTGGGACACCTGCTGTGATTTTCCCCATGGGTACAATGTGTGAAGCCCATTTCTGGTGTGCCCCACTGTGATATTGTTGGGATATTGCTAAAAGTGGCGTAAAACTAAACTCACTCACTCACTCACTCACTGTTGTGATTTTCCCCCACATGGGTACAATGTGTAAAGCCCGTTTCAAAATTTATTCTCCATTATAGGCAGTTGTGCAGCTGTGTCACAGGAAACAATGTCTCTGTTGAGTCCCTAACAAATGACTGCATAACTGTGGCCTGTATATTGCAGCGGATCGTCAATTGAAGAGCGTGTACCCCCCCAGCTGGTGTCTATGGCTGCCGACGTGCTGTACTGGGTGTACGTGCTGGAGTGTTGGCGTCCACACATCCTCGGCGTGGTCTCCATCACCCTCAAGGTCACCAGGGTCATGTGCGCCTTCATGGCTGGTAAGATGGTCAACAGTCCTCAACTCTTTTAGTTTTGAAAGTGTTCATTCTCATTTCTTGATGAGTGATCCTGACGATCAGCCCACCATGCACTAATACTAAACACGGGTAATTAGAAGCTCTGTGACTTCAGCTGGTATGTACCTCCCCTGAAACACTTGTAATCTAGACTTGCATTAACTGTATTGGGCATCTATCCTCCATGGTGTGTGTGATGAACTATGTGGTTCCTAGAAAGGTGCTGATGTTGTGGTCCAACTTCTGCAGGCAACGACCTCTTCTTGGACAGGAGTGTGAGCTGCTACCTGGCCGCGCTGCTACAGGAGTACACCAAGCCAGCAGCTCTTGACCGCCTGGACTTCACCGAGGACATACCAGGACTCTCCTCCTTCTACGACTTGTAAGTTGACATACTGATGGTCACCATGACTTAGGTGACATCCCGTGTAAGACTTGTACCGACATCCCACTGTCTTTCTGAAACATAGAATCCTTGATGGCTAACATGTTCACATACAATATTCCCTGTTGTATCAGGTTCAGTGAGCTGCTCCAGCAGTATGAGTCGGTGTCGTTCGGGGACTCACTGTTTGCCTGCTACGTGTTGGTGCCACTGCAGCGGAGACACAGCGTTCAGATGCGGAGGTTGGTGTGGGGGGAGAAGGCAGCGGTTCTGAGGACTTTCAGGGTTCCACTTACACAGGTAGAGTCCATCATGTCAGACATATTGTCGTCTAAAATACATGGGTTATTGTTTGTGACAGAGTTCTAATCACAATCTGAGATGTAATGTTTCCAGTTCAACCCAAGGGATTCTATTTGTATATGTTGCACAGTGTACACAATGAATTAAGTATTTGTTCCCTTTATCTTTAAGTACTATGATCAAGAAACATCACTGTGACAAGAACTATGAATGTGATTCTCAAACCTGCTGTTCAGATCTATGCGGCCTTCAGTACTCTGGCTATGGGGGATCCTACTACAATCTGTCAACTACGTGGCGTACATTCAACCTACGTTTGTCCTTGATGAGCTAATTAGTCATTCTGTTCTCTGTCCATCCATCCTTCTGTGATGAGAGGTCAAACACACTTTGACCTTCACTGTCTGTTTCAGCTATGTACTCATGCCTGACGTGTCTTCCAACCAATATAGCACATCATTTTATCACTTTTGAATTCTTTGAAGCAACTGAATGTGATGAGCTTGACCTCTTCAAAGAATGTAGATAGTTAAAAGACAGGCTGGGTCTCCTCCCATGTGTCCATGTCTTATGTACGTCTGTAACCATGACATATCAAACAGACGCATGGGGCCAAACCGTGTACAACAGTTGGGGGGATGTCCCATCTGTGTTGCAACATACTTCACCTTTGTTGAGTGGTATGCATAGTAAAGTGATTATAAAACTTTTTTTTCTGGTTTTCCCGGAACATGGAAGACTTGTGTCTGATTGTCTATTGCTACTACTCCAGGTTGTAATACCAATTGAGCGGTTCCTGGCACCTGACGAGAGTGACCTCCCCTTGCTGCAGCTGTATTTCCAGTGTCTGGTGTCACAGACAGTGCGGCCGATTTGGGCACCAATCATGTACTTGACTGCTGTCCACCATGTCAACCGATTTCTCTACTACCAGGCTGACCGAAACCATCAAGGACCCAGGGACAGAATGTGGCACCAATTAATGGCATGTAAACATGAGGTTAGGATTTTTTTTGTACTGTTATATATTTCTGTCGTTTTGTGGCAAATATTCTTCAATCAGATGAAATTCAGTGTTAAACTGTGTACTGTGAATAAATGCAAATGAATGCAAAGAGCACACACATGTAAATATAAAAACAACCTGGGAAACAGAATCAATACCCTGTACCCAACGCTGTGGTGGTTCAAAGACAAACAGAATCAATACCCAGTACCCCAACGCCCTGTGGTGGTTCAAAGACAAACAGAATCCCCAGTACCCCATGCTTGTACCCCTGTGGTGGTTCAAAGACAAACAGAATCCCCAGTACCCCATGCTTGTACCCCTGTGGTGGTTCAAAGACAAACAGAATCCCCAGTACCCCATGCTTGTACCCCTGTGGTGGTTCAAAGACAAACAGAATCCCCAGTACCCCATGCTTGTACCCCTGTGGTGGTTCAAAGAGAAACAGAATCCCCAGTACCCCATGCTTGTACCCCTGTGGTGGTTCAAAGAGTAACAGAATCCCCAGTACCCCATGCTTGTACCCCTGTGGTGGTTCAAAGAGTAACCCATGCCTGTGATCACAGCAAACATACCCAGTATTGATTGTGATATTCTGGTTTGATTCCAGGAGGTAAAACATCATCTTCTCCACTACAAGATGGCAGATGTGGAACAAGAATATGGCATGACATTCTACACAAATCTTCCAACCATCCGTCAGACTGTAGTGGATGGATACATGCCAGCAAAGATGACGTGACACTCAGCTCACAGCCTTAAGTCATTAGACTGTCTGTTGTTGACAGGACATCCTGGCTGGATGATGGTCCACACATGTACCCCTCCTGTCTGAATCAGATCTGTTGTTGATGTCAGGGGCGGATCCAGAGGAGGTGTGCGCACCCCATCTTCTCAAATGCCCCCAGAGGAGCATTTCCTCTAACCTTTGGACAACTTCATGATTAATGTGCACAATTCCCACTTCTCCAAACTCCTGGATCTGCCCCTGGATGTATGACAGGTGACGTATGACAGGTGATGTATGACAGGTTACGTACCACAGGTGATGTACCACAGGGAGAGTCCAAAGTCTAGCAGATGTTGAGAGAAGTATCTTGGTGAGCGTCTACATAAAAGTGAAGACTGGAAGCAGGATCTATTAAGTCTGCAAGGAAGTGCTGAAACTATGCTGAACTAATAAGCAGTTCCAGTCGCTGAGCTGTACAGTAACATAAGCACAACACGTTTGGCAACAAATGCAAATATTGTATTATCCAAATATCCATACCCCAATGTTCCACGATACATGAAGTCACTGAGAGAAACATGCCATAACAGTCATAGCACACGCCGGACTCAAAGTGTTGAAATCATTCCATGATTGGCTTCCATGACAAACATTCTTCATGGGAGTGATCTTCATAAGTCCCTTGAATAGACATTACTGCAATTCACCAGCTGTTGGAGATAAATTATTTCCTGAATTCAACGTAATTTTCTCGAGTATCAAAGATCAATAATAGATATACTTTTCTATTTTTGTCCACCATACTGTTAGTATTCACAATGTCATGTTCATATTACTTACAGGTATTGAAGTAATGTTTAAACCGAAACTGTTCACATTGTACATCACATGTGTTTCATGTAATCCATCAATAACATGTCAAATGTGATCTTGTATCTACATGATAAAAGCTGATTGGGTACATATTCTTGGAATAAATTATGGTGGTAAAAAAGAAGAGTGAGTGAGTTTGGTTTTACGCTGGACTCGGCTGTATAGCGGTAGTCTGTAAATAATCGAGTCTAGACCAGACGATCCAGAGACCAACAGCATGAGCATCGATCTACGCAATTGGGATACGATGACATTTGTCAACCAAGTCAGTGTGCCAAGTCAGCATGTCTTGCTTCACTCTTCGATCATACATTTTGCAGAAGAAGTTAGTCTTTGTTTGTTGTGTGACCAAGACAACAACATTACTTTAGTTTCATGACGGTGAAAGTAGCTACGCCCAATGGAATCAACAGGAACTTGTTATAGTGGTGGTCCGATTAATTGAAATAATCGAAGATTGGTCGCAGTGACTAAACGACCAAGCAGTGGATCATGTTTTCTCATAATCGAACATGAACAATTCTGGAACACTTTTTGCATTAACAATATTTTTCACAAGGTTGGTTTTGTAAGTTACATTTCATAACCACTACAAGCTTGTTGCAAGTCATGATTGAATTTATCTTAAACACTCCAGGAATGTTATGTTTCTAACATACTAGTCATCCTTCAAGATGTGGAATTTGCCAAAACTAACCCTAAGAACTACATGTTTTTTCTTCTTCTTTTGTGCATTAACCAAAATAACCAGGAAAAAATCATAAATGACACTAATCAATTATTTTCAATGATTGATCGGTTGTAATGAAGCAATCATCAATTATGAGGTTTTAGCCAATTCCCAACACTAACTTGTTATGCATAGAGTTGTACCCTTCGTTATTAACTCACTGACTTCCAGAATGCCGATCAAACAAATCATTGCCCGACGACGCACAGCACTCCTGCCATGCCATTGCCGCCAGTAATCAAAACAGAGAATCCAGTGATAGACCAGAACTTCAGTCACGCAATAGCTACTTTAGTTCAAGCTGAGACTGATTTCTAAAGTTTGATTGACTTTATCTGTGCACGACTGCAGAGATTCTGGTGCTTGGTCGTGAGGAAATCGTGTTAAAGAAGTATGTTTGTCAGGACAACAGGAAGGCAGACTTCATGTCTTGGTCCAAACATTGCTGCTACAGTCTGTTTGACTAGAAAATGTCCCCATGAATTGCTAAATATATCAGTTTAAAAAGGTAGTTAATAAATATTACGCGGCAAGATGTTCATGAGTAACCTATACCCAAACAACCTGTCATCTATTAGAAATTGACATGCATCACAGAAATAGTTGTACTATCATTATAAACATGATTGTTGACAGTTGGCGCGGAGGGGCGCACGGCAGCGACGGGAATAGACAGGTGCATCTGATGCACGGGCATTTCGTGATAACTGCTGTGTGCGGATGACGAAATGAAGTTCACTGTATAGGCAAAACAGTTGATAATTAAAGTGTATGATTTCTTTCGCACTGAAAGGGTGAGGTGAGGTGAAATTGGGTTTAACGTCGTGCTTGATAATATTTCGCTCATATGACGACGTGCATGCGTGTGTATGTATATGTGTGGCTGCTTATACTAGCCCTGAAAGGGAAATGGGGAGGCGTTTTATGACATCGGTAGGTATAAGAAAAGTGCTTCCAAGACAACTTCCAGAAGAACCAGGTCAGACCGGCAATCACTAAACTGTACTCGGAAAACAAATACATATCATTAAAAGTATTATTGAAACACCTTGGAAACCAAAACAATTTGTCAGTAACGAAGTACACACCATGGCGACTCTTACATTCTTTTGGGTATAGGAACAAAAAGAAGTAGCAGGAGAGTATTGTGCGAACGATCAGATATCGTACGTTTGAGAAATCATTTTCTCATACCGCCAGCAGTCAATGGGTACCCGATGGGAATAAGGGATCACGGAGGAAACTGCCGCTGGGGAAAGGGCAAAGATTGATTATTCTCCATGCTGGATACCACAGCGTGCAGGATCCAAACAGCAAAACTCCAACGTCTAACAATTGTAAGGGCGATATGATTGCTTGGCTTGAAAAATTCAACATCCCGTATCCGTCGAAAGCGACGGAGCCTCAGCTGTACGAAATCCTCAAAACCCACAAACAAGACCCCGTATACAAAAGGGTAAAGGTCATGAAATATTGCGGCTATCACCATATCATTGTGACCTAAATCCAATCGAGATAATATGGGGTACTCTAAAAGGTGACGTTGCAAGATCAAATACCACATTTAAATTACGTGACGTTGTGGCCTTGGTGACCGACTCGCTGGGTAAAATCACTGTTGACGTGTGGCAACACTGTGTAACTAATGTTGTCAATGAAATTGAAGCAGGTTACTGGTCTCGTGATGGTCTCCAACAGGCAACTGTCGCACCGCTTGTTTCCATCAGCTCGTACTGTGATGCCACTGATGACGAAGTCACAGATCATTCAGAATAAATTTTGAGACGCTCCCCTCCGCACCTGTCTATTCATGTTTATAATGATGATAGTTTGTTAAACAACTTTTTCTGTGATGCATGACAATTTCTAATAGATGAAAAGGTGTTTGGGCATAGGTTATCGGTGAACATCTTGCTTCTTAATATTTATTAACTACCTTCCTAAACAGATATATTTAGCAATTCATGGGGACACGTTCTAGTGAAACAGACTGTAAATGTTGCTGAGTAATGACACGTGATATTGCACACCAGACACCCAAGTCCACATGAAGGCGGAACACAGCAAAGATCGACGTTTTTTAATGTGGCGTAAAACTATAGTATTGAGGCCTATTTATCTGTAGGTGACATACTGCCATGTTGCAACCGTTAATGAAGTCGATGTGTGGAATGCTGTACACAGGAATAACGATGAGTGCTTAGAGTTCACCGACATCTGATTTACGTTCAGACTTAAAGCTGGTGTGAAACATGGCTCGTTACCAATCATTTGAAACCTGAAGATACAAAGGATCTCAATTTTGTGTTTGGGTGTAGGCACTACACACGTACGTTGATCTATACTGAACCGCAAAAGAAATGTCGCACTGATAGCGGTTTCTTAAAACACACACTTTAATTCACTCTAATGATCAATCAAATAGGAGGACTGAGTTCAAACTTGACAATTATTATGGTTAACACATTTTCGGGAATCACATTTAGAGTTCACACAATCAAATCACCAAACATGGTACTATTAAGATACCCCAAAGGCAATATCGTGTGTGGCCTCTATGGGCATCGATGAAATTGTTGCATCATCTGTACATGTCCAATGAATTAGCCGGTCGATGAAGGTCATACACACTTGGGTCCATACTCTGTGAAATGCCTGATCGAGTCTAGCCGTAGTTGTCGGCCTTGGTTGGAGGGCATTCGGTCTTCTTTGAATCCTGTCGCAAGGGTGTTATATTGGACTTAATACGGACTGAGTGCAGGCCATTGTAGGTTTTAGATGCCATGTTGTCTTAGGAAGTCAAGTGATGCTCTTGCAGTGTGGGCACGACCGTTGTCTTGCTGGAAGATGTGATTTCTGTGACATCCAATATGTGGTACAACGTGGGGTGTTATGACTTGTTCAATATAGCGAGCAGCTGTCACGCAATTTCTTCGTTCTGGGCCGATATTCTGGAACACCACGGGGCCAACCCTCTGGTTCAGACCGATTGCACCCTACACCATGATGCTTCGACCACCCCACGAGTCTCTTTCAACAATACACTCATTGGAAAAACGTTCCCTTCGCCGTCGCCATACTATCACTCTGTCATCGGCTGTTGAATCACAACATCGGCTTTCATCAGAAAAAAGCACAGTTCTATAGTGTTGATAACGTCAATTTCGATGCTGAGTTGCCCATTGCAGTCGGTTTGGGCGGTGACGAGCGGTGAGAACAGGACTACGATATGGTCTGTGATAGCAGAGGTTTCTTCCGCGCAAACGTCAACTCACTGTATCGGCACTGATGGGTCTGTTTTGAGTCAGAAATGGTCTGGCGTGCAGTTTCCGTCGCTCTGTGGAAGCGATCCTGTAGATGGTTGCGCACAGCCTGTCATTCTTGACGTTGTGGTGCTACTGAAGGTCGCCCACTGCGTTGACGGTCCTTTCCCTATATGTACCCCTTCCTGTACATCCAATCCATTCATTATGTTACCCCTTCTTGTACACCCAATCCACTCCCGACATGTACCCCTTCCTGTACACATACTCCTTCCTTCACGCACTCCCTCTTATCTCCCTCCTCCTCACATTCTCTTCCTCCATTTCCGTCCCTACTCACGCGTGCTGTCTTTCCTTTTCTCCCTCTCCACGCCCCTCCCTCTCTCCTCACACATTCAAACCTCTTCACGTCCCCCTCCTCACGCATTCACGGCCCCCTCCCCTCTGCCTCATTCCTTCTCCCTCCTCTCTCCGCCTCCCTCCCTCCTCACGCATTCTGTCCTCTTCACGCCCTCCTCCCTCTCTTCCTCATGCATTCCGTCCTCTTCACGCCCCTCCCTCTTCCTCATGCATTCCGTCCTCTTCACGCCCCCTCCCTCCTCCTCACGCATTCCGTCCTCTTCACGCCCCCTCCCTCTTCCTCATGCATTCCGTCCTCTTCACGCACCCTCCCTCTGCCTCATGCTTTCCGTCCTCTTCACGGCCCCTCCCTCTTCCTCACGCATTCCGTCCTCTTCACGCCCCCTCCCTCTTCCTCATGCATTCCGTCCTCTTCACGCCTCCCTCCCTCCTCCTCACGCATTCCGTCCTCTTCACGCCTACCTCCCTCTTCCTCATGCATTCCGTCTTCTTCACGCCCCCTCCCTCTTCCTCATGCATTCCGTCCTCTTCACACCTCCCTCCCTCCTCCTCACACGCATTCCGTCCTCTTCACGCCCCCCTCCCTCTTCCTCACGCATTCCGTCCTCTTCGCGCCTCCCGCCCTCTTCCTCATGCATTCCGTCCTCTTCACGCCTCCCTCCCTCCTCCTCACGCATTCCGTCCTCTTCACGCCCCCTCCCTCCTCTGTGTACATCTATATGTACACCTGCTCATAAAGTGCCTTTATATTTGTTTATGCCCATGTTATCTTGATCTGAAGTAATGAAACAAGATTTAGTTACCATCAATGCTTCAGAAGAACATCGGATCTTGAAAGTGTCCACAGAAAACTGTACAAGGTGTCATATGATCAAATAATGTGAACCAGTTTCATGTGTCTGCACACGAAACGTAAATGTTGGTGTTTTCTTTTCACGCGAACACCTGGTGTCAAGATCTCTGTATTTTCAAGTATAGGATATGAGTTTAACAGCAGATTGTTGACTGCACGGCGAAGTGATGATTCTGCAATATCCCATCTGTTCCACTGGTAAAAGGATGATACTGACATGTAACACATCTCTCAGCCATAGTAAGTAGGATATTGAGACACACATTGATTTTACTCCGTGGATGTGTTCACATGACACAACTCCGACGTAAGGTGACATGCAGCTGTTATCATATCTGGGTTTAAATGTGCAGTGCCTCAACTCACTGTACTGTCTGACACGATGCCACTTCATCGGGAAGTAATGGTAAGTACTTTATTCTTGTTCAGTTTCTTCGGCATAATGGAAATGACTGAAATACTACATTCACACTTGATTCGTGTTGGAGCATTCAGCCCTTTTGTTTTCTGTTACCTTTACACACGTATTGCAATCACGTAAAACCCATGTAAATTCTGGTCCGGCATGACATCACCCATGTCAGTGTGACATACAGACATCCTACCACAAAACACGTCTGTCTACGAGGGGTGTGTCCGATCAGTACCTGGAGTGGCCTTGTGTGAAGCTTTCACTGCTCTACACCTTGGCACTGAATACTCTAAGTAATCTGGCCTGTGATGTTCTGCGTTATTCCTGTCAGGTTTCAGCGTGTAGAATATGGGTATCCACCACTGGCCCGCTAGCCTGTGGCTAGTAAAAAGCCAGTCGGGCCAGTAAGTCTCGAAAGTCACTGGCCCGAATGAAACCTGTAAATATATGTATATCACTCTCTCCGACTTGTTAAATTATAATACACTAAGTCTTTTAAATCTTGCAAGATTATGGCCCGATAAAAATGTTCATCATATTAGCAGCTTAATGATGAAACCCGTGTCTACATTTAAATTTCGGGCCAGTGAATAATTTTGAGGGCTAGTAACTTTCAGGCATAGCTAGCCCGTCTGGGTAGCAAAATGCGGAAACTATTTCGCACGCTGGTATCTACACTGTGACACTTCCGACACCTCATCTCTCGTCATGTCGAAGCTGTTTGGCGTGAAATATTCGACGTCGGCAGTCACAGTGTCTTTCATCTCGGCATTCATCACTGAACCAGTCCATGCCGATGATGTAGATGGAACATTCGGATGTAGCGATCTTGTGCAGGGATGGCAACTATTGACATACTACTTCCAAGACGATCACGGGTTGAATTAAGGCAGGTATACCGGTCCCACAAACGAGATATTGATTGAGGTATGCCGTGTTATAGTCATAGTCACTGCACATGACTGTCGCAGCTTTCAAGTGCAGTCAAGTTTGCATTTCACTTCAATGACGTTTGTGTGCCGCTGGACATTTTGCCATACCAGAAGGTATATAAGTTAATCTCAATGATAATCAATGCTACTCTTTCTTCAGATTTGGCTGACACTTTTGCTACTGAATGCAGTTTGCATATGTAAGTAATCTACGTTCTGCCATTATTATAAGGTATGTAGCAGTGTAAGATGTTACACATAGTCAAACTGTATATGTTGTACAGTTGGATTGGTCAAAAGTGGTTCTAAATATTCAGAACTGTATGTCAGGAATGATGGTGGTGGACGTTGAGGACGATGAAGATCTGGATACAAAAACGTGAATTTCAGTATGAAAGACTGATTTGAAGCTCCGGCAACTATGAATTACAGGTGAGAATTGAAGATGACAAAGATTTTCAGCTGTTGAATCATAGAATGTTCTTCCTCTCATGTCCTCAACAGTTGTTAAGTCATTTGACCTTTCCAAGTAGATCGGACCTGTGCCGCCTTGCCCTGAATGTGTTGTTGAAAGGTTTTCTTACCTTTGTGTAAAGGTGGCTAATGGTTTAAAAGCTCTATGACTAGTGCATCATGTTGTTGTAAAGTGGATGTACGTAAAACTCGGGACGTTGCCTGGACGATGATAGAGTTCTGATACAAACATGGCTGCAGTTCTGAAGGCTTGTGAATCGGTCTCTCAAGCAGGGGTATGGGTTTGTGTTTTGTGTGTGTTATTCTTTTGTTAAATTTGCAAGGAAGACGAATACCTTGTTTGATGGGTGCTGTGGTCAGTGGTGATTTTGATGGTTTTGCTGGAGCATTTAAACATTGTATTTCATTTGTTTTCAGTAAGGACTTTGCAGTCTTATATTTGAGAAAATAATAGTTCATCTCCTCCTTGTTCGTCTTCTAAGATTTCTAAGTCTTAATCTTTACTTGTTGACAAAGGTCAAATCTTACTCCAGGTACATAAGATACTTCTAGAGTTGAACCACATCCTACTTTATTGTATTGCCATTAGCTGGGGCACATCATTTCTGAGTGTAAAATGCTTACTGTTGCAACTGTCTTTCTTCTCGTCATGAATATCATGTCACAGTCTTTCAGTGTTTTGGCTTATGGGGAGTTAGCTTGTATGTACTAGCCATCAAAGTTGTAAGAGCGGAGGAATTACTTTTCTGTCAACAAATATTTTAGTTTGTGAATTTATAGATAGATATGGCGTGTTTGTTGCTGGAGGTGGGGGTTGTACAAACTGTTGAAGGTATTTGACGTGCTTTGGGGAATGATTTGGCAGGGAAAACTGTTTGACTGATCCTGTTATTTGTCATGAGCCAAGTATTTTCGAAAGTACTAAAATCTTGAAACAGAAGTTCCCCGTATGTATCCTTCTTGTGTTGTTACTCCTGCTGTGGCTAAGAATACATCTTCAGTCAGTGATTCTAATTACAAGTTTCCTAATGCATTTATTGATCAATGATCACTCTATCTATTGACCAGTCCAATGGCCCAATATTAGTACAACTGACTTCCATATCAATAACATAAGGCCCATAGTACCTGACAATTAATGGTTAATTTCGGATTGTCAAATACACAAAACACATTTTCCCCGGGACTTAAATTTCTCTCTTGAGGCCATTTATCAGAATATACTTTCATATACAGCACCTGTTATGGGATTTCTTTTTCCGATTATCCCTTGCAACCTCACATGCATTTGAAATCCTTGTCTGAAACGACGGAACATGGTCCAACGAACGCATGTCAGACCTATCATTAAGCCATCCTTCCTTCAAGTACGTTAAAGGCCCCCGTGGATTACACCTGAGATGAAATTGGAGCCTTGGTCTGTCTGACTAGTATTAACAAACCAAACATAGTGAAGAAATTCACTAAAGAGAAGAACTTGATAATGACCCGAGACATCCTGAAACTTAGGGTAGCGTGTTTGACACACATTCTGTCAGTGTTGATAGTAGTGGTGGTCCAATTAATTGAAATAATCGAAGATTGGTCGCAGTGACTAAACGACCAAGCAATCGATCATGTTTTCTCATAATCGAACATGAACAATTCTGGAACACTTTTTGCATTAACAATATTTTTCACAAGGTTGGTTTTGTAAGTTACATTTCATAACCACTACAAGCTTGTTGCAAGTCATGATTGAATTTATCTTAAACACTCCAGGAATTATATGTTCCTAACATACTAGTAATCCTTCAAGATGTGGAATTTGCCCCCAAAAATCCAAAGAACTACATGATTTTTCTTCTTCTTTTTGCATTAACCAAAATAACCAGGAAAAAATCATAAATGACGCTAACCAATTATTTTCGATGATTGATCGGTTGTAATGAAGCAGTCATCAATTATGAGGTTTTTACCAATTCCCAACACTAGTTGATAGCCATCCAGTCCTCGGCTGTTACAGCCGTGGTGGGAACGTGATCCCTGTCATGAAATTATATGATGACAATGAAGGAAAATCTTTAATGTGGTATAGCAAACTCCAAAACCGATTTTCGTTGTTGGGTAGCATGTGCAGCAAAATGTTCAAGGTCAAGGTTCCCCGAACTGAGTGCTGCGGCACGTCCATGTTCAGCCGGTTCTTCTTTGTTGAATTTGGGAGAGTGATTCTCAGCTGTTTTGGAACACTGTTTTTGGTATCGATCATACGTGTGGGAAATGTATTGTGTCTTAGTTTATAACATAACCACTGCCTCAGGACACAACAAGCCTGACATATTGGAACTGGGAATAAACTGTTACTGACATTTTTCATCGATTGTTGTAACTATGGAAATGCCCAAAACAGGGTATATATTGTACCTTCATTTTGGCTTTATGTGTCTCTTAGTTTGCAGATTGTCCATGGTTCGGTTTCACATACATGGTCATATAGAGACCTTGATGATAAAATGCTTCGAATGAATATATTAATATAAATCATATTGTATTGTACGTTAAAGTGAGTTAAATCTCACCTCACCTCACCTCACCTTACCTCATCTGATCTCACCTCACCTCACCTTACCTCATCTGATCTCACCTCACCTCACCTTACCTCATCTGATCTCACCTCACCTCACCTTACCTCATCTGATCTCACCTCACTTCACCATGTTTCAGGCAGTTCCTACAAAGGAACGATTAACCTAGCCAGAGGCAAATCAGCAACAGCGAGCTCTGTGTATGGGCCACCGCCAAGAGTTGCAACAGACGGCCTCCCCTTCACTGACTGGGAATATGGCAGTTGTTTTGCTGTGCTAGAAGGTGACAATCATCCCTGGTGGCAAGTCGATCTTGAAGCGTCTTCTTATGTCACTGAGGTTGCCGTGACAAGCAGGAGTGACTATCGTCGTGAGTGTAATTTTGCGTTTCAGTAACCATGTTCACTAAACAATGAATCGAATTTGATGAGATTGTATAAGTTCTTTAAACAAACTGAAAGTGGCATGATCTCAGCGAGAATGGGACAGTACTTATTCCCCACAAGAATTTAAAAAGCTGCAAGACTAAAATTGGCCATGCATATATCCCATAATTAACTTGTGAATATTACCCTCTTTCTCCAATACAATGGTATGAGTATAATATAGCTTATGATGTTAAGCTGTTTATCAATAAAGAGTATGGGATTCGCCAAACATGTGCAAACTGTATAGCGACGAGGGTTTTCGGAAGGGCTGGGTCAAGACAAACCAAGAACGGCTACTTCCTCTTTTCACCTACCTCTCCTTGACAGACTCCTAATGTTTGGTCAGCATGATCTGTTGGGAAAACGGTCGAGCTGTAAACAAAAGACAATCAAACAAATCTTGTTCCTCCTGTGTATGGATATGGAACACGCCCTGAAAAACACAATATTACATACCTCATAAACACATACAGTCAAATCCCGATGAGTCGAATGCCGGTGTCTCGAATATTATGCATAACTCGAAGTACCTGTCGGTCCCGACCATTCCCTGTTATAATTGTCATCATTTGAATACCGGTTACACGAATTCGTCTCATAAATACACACGATGACTCGAGAAGGAAATTTGGTCCCATGAGATTCAAACAACAGCAATCTTGTATACATAAGCCGAAGTCAGTCAATGAGAAGTTGATTGGTGTAGCAAACTGATCCAATTAACAAACCAGCGCGGCTCACACCTTTCCGCCATTGACGAGTGAGTTCAAAAGGCAGATTAGTGATTTTACGGAAATCACTGTCTGTGCTAATCAGACTGGAACTGTTAAGGTGTCCCTATTAGTGATATGGAAATCATTAGATAAACAAATGCTTAGGAGGAGGAATTAGGACTGGATCATCATTTTTTCTACCCTCATAGACTTACCTATGTCTCGAATATGTAATTGCATAAATACATTGTACGTACACATACGGTTCACAGACTTAATGCAGAACGATGTGTGCAATGGCAATGGACGTGATTACAACATGGAGATATACCCCAGGTCTTGCTCAAAGTTAAGGAAAATAATCACAACCTGTTAGTAATAAAAGAACGTGATCTCAACTGCCACACTTATGGAGTGCTATATTCCAAGATCTAAAGGATGATACACATAGACCATGGAGACTAAATATAATACCATACTGCATTTATATTCTTCACAACGATTTGCATGCATTATATCTAAAATTGTATGTTACAAAATCTACAAAACCCTGCTGATCACTCTAGAAATAACTCAATGCTTGCACACATCCATTTATTAATTTGCAGTGATAGAATATTTAGTGATCCTTGTAAAAAGAAGCGACGAAACCCTTTCCACAGTCATAAGAAATCTCTGGCAAAAGCAGAGTCGGTTGTACAATTCTGACTGTGTCATGACCAGACATTTGTTTCAGCAGTATTACAGCTGTATGATGTATAATTAATTAATCAGTCATAACCTATATCATATAGTAGATTTAGTGTACTCAAAGAGACAATGTTAACATGATGTATTTTTGCAATAAATACACTATACAGATATTGTATCCCAACTCGTCCTTTGGCCTGAGCAGTTCTGTCATGTACTGATGGAACAGATGAACAAAGCATGCAGTATAACACTAGCGGTTAGCTTGGCCAGTCAGTCTGTTGAGCTTCTTGGAATGGGCAGTTAGAGAGTCACACGGAAGTACAGATATAGTGTGGTGTGAGGACTTGTAAAACTTAACGAACTGACAACCAATTATCTATAAGAAATATATGTATTTTTAAATATGGATTTTTAAAAATATATGTACAAAGAATTACATCATCCACAATTAATAGTTGTCACCGTCCTTTGTTGCAGCTGAAAGACTACACGACTTCACACTGGAGGTGTTTGACAGGAACCCGGCCACCTCAACACGCGCCAGGGGTGCACTCTGTGGAACCTACGATGGTGCGGTCACAGAACCAGGAAAGACTGTCACTGTGAAATGTGTTCGTCGTCTTAGAGGACGATATGTCCGGCTGAGGATGGAAAAGAACGGTGAAGATGATGTCCTTCAATTCTGTGAGGTCAAAGTTTTCGGATCCATTATTCCTCGTGGTGAGATTCAGTTTATGAGACGTTCACGTGGACGTTCTATAGCTCTCCGAAAAACAGAGATATCAAACATTGGTTACAAGTGCGTTTGTTTGCCATGTATGTATATAATGACAACCCCAGACAATAATCAGTCTCTATAATATGCCACAAGAGATCCCACGTGGCGTTAAAGACAAGTTAGGGGTGACAATAACATGAATGAATCCCTGAAAATGAATTGTGACATCTGGTAGGCATGTGTAAGCTCAGTCAGTAACACTTGCCACTCAGACATACACTTGACCATGAAGCTTCACACACTGCCCCTTCAAAAGATGTCTTGTTATTTACCTACAGCAGCATTAACGATGCTATTTTATGTTTGGTACACAATACAGGCAGGTTTAATCTGGCTATAGGCAAGCCAGCAACAGCGAGCTCTGTGAATGGGCCACTGCCTAGAGTTGCAACAGACGGCCTCCCCAACACTGATTGGGGATCTGGCAGTTGTTTTGCTGTGATAGATGGAGACAATCATCCCTGGTGGCAAGTCGATCTTGAAGCATATTCTAGGGTGTTTGAGGTTGCCGTGACAAGCAGGAGTGACTGTTGTCGTGAGTATAATGTTACAGTCCAGTAACGATGTACATTAAACTATACTCAATCAAATGAAACCTCGACACCTGTTAACTGAATCCTACAATAGAAGTAGGTGAGTATAATTACTGTCTATGGGGAATGCATACTTCCTGTCTGAATGTTCTACCCAAACACTATATGTGAGTGTTATCAATGAGGACGTCCAACAATTTACTTATTGTTTTCTCAGTGCCATTCAGATGACAGTTGCTTTCCTTTTTATACAAAGTTCCTGAACCTCTCAAGATAGATATGTAATTTTATGTGTGCTCACCGCGTCTATTAACACATTAAAACGTCACATCGATCAAGGACTAAAGTGTTTACTTCAGTTTGCCCTGGAATGGTGGTGTACAGCTTTGAAGAATCAAATATTGTGATATCACTGAGCTTGGTATGCTTCTGAAATCGTAACACCTACTAATAAAGCCAATTTTTCACATACAATTAATTCCATTGGTTTCAATACTGTCTACGACTAAAAGACGTCCTTCCTTTATAGTGTTAGGAACTATGGAATCCAGTACGAAAACGGGATGGACATGCCTTTATGATTTTAAGTCAAGCCAGAGGACGAAAGATTGATGAAGATTGAGCAGATTTCATCCTCTGTTAACATACAAGCAAACAATTTATGTAATGATGTCTACATATAATGAATATGTAATTTCAGGCTTTGTCGGAGGGAATAATTATAACCTTTCGTGTAGAGCAGCTGGACGGGTTTCTTCCAATTCTGCTAGTGTCATAAAATAAGATTTCATCACGTGTTACAGCTGAAAGACTACACGACTTCACAGTGGAGGTCTTTAGGAAGAACCCGGCCACCAGAACAGGCGTTAGTGGTGCACTGTGTGGAACCTACAACGGTGCAGTCACAGAACCAGGGAAGACTGTCAATATAAAGTGTATCCGATCTGCTAGAGGACGATTTGTCCGACTGAGAGGGAGAAAGGATGGTGAAGATGACGTCCTTCAATTCTGTGAGGTCAAAGTTTTCGGATCCATTATACCTGGTGGTGAGATTCAATTTACGAGACAAATTGTCATATATGTTCACGTGGACGTTCTATAGCTCTGCGAAAACAGAGATATCAAACATTGGTTACAATTGCATTATATCAGGAAAAACGTTAAGCACCCCGGTAATTTTTCCAAAGTGGTATGTTTCGACTAACATCAGTGGTGTGGTTGCATGTATTTCTGTAAGTAAGATCGTGTCTTGACTACAGCAAAACACAGAAAGGACAGTTTCCTTCAACGTTTTAATCCTGGATATGGCACAATACACAAATCTACTGTTTTGGCTTAAACTGACACCTGTTACAAGTATGGAGCTAAAAAGAATATCAGGAAAAATGCTTTCTAACTGACACAGATTTTGAGCAGGTGGTACACGTGCTTGTATCCGTCGCCCAATAAAGTCCTTTATGTGCTCCGGGGGGTTCAGGTCTGGACTCATGGCGGGCCAAGGAAGGTGGGTCACTGCATTATTCTGAATGGAAGCTGTCGCTGCATGAGATCGTTGTCACCTTGCGTTGTCATCCATAAATACTGGTCCTCTAGCAAGAGGATGATTATTAAAATGGAGGACAACAACTGGATCCAGCACTTCTTGGATATACTGATCACCCAACAAATTCCCACGTATGGTAACCAAGTCAGGTTGACAGTCACAAGAGACACATTCCCACACCATGACGGAATCTCCACCAAAGGCAACAGCTCGTTGACTGATTTTTGCTGCAAATGCTGCATTTCGCTGTCCCCAAACTCTCAAGCGTCCATCACTTACATGAAGAAGGAATCGGCTTTCATCAGACTAAGTCCTCAGATTCCATCGTTGCCGGCGAAATGATAATCAGTATTGTATCTGAACAGTGCTTCTGGCGAATGGTAATCAGTAGTGTATCTGAACAGTGCTTCTGGCGAATGGTAATCAGTATTGTATCTGAACAGTGCTTCTGGCGAATGGTAACCAGTAGTGTATTTGAACAGTGCTTCTGGCGAATGGTAACCAGTAGTGTATTTGAACAGTGCTTCTGGCGAATGGATGTCGTTGAGTCTGCCTTTATAGTGCCCTGTTTTCACCTTTAGACGTCGTTGGCGATCCTTCGCCTCATTTTCCCACTGTATTTTATAACCAAACGACTGGGTAGTGGACATTCCTTTCCCGACCAATAGCTTTAAAGGACATACCGGAGTTATGCATACCAATTATTTGTCACATCTGGCAATCTGATAATCATCTTCGTACCATAATTAAACATTGGCATCCATGCAGAAACAATATCGACATGTGGCATGTACACAAACTACACTTGTGAGATTTCGTGGGTATGCTTCTGGACATGCTCCACAGGGTGTGTTTAGGAGACACCTTCCACCCAGTACACGTGCTATAACTTACATGAACATTAGCATCATACGTATCATCATACACAAGCTGGACTTGTCAACGGTCAATTTAGGTGTGCTTATTTTTCCCCAGGTGTAAATATATAAAATGCCAACCTCAGTGAATAATCAGTCTCTATAATCTACCGAAAGAGATCATACGTGGCTTAAAGACAAATTTGTGATGAAAATTAAATGAATGCATCACTAGAAATGATTGATGACACCTGGTATATGCAAACATGATACACCTTTGTTACTCTAACGCAGTACCTGCTGCTCAGACTAGCCCATGAGGCTTCATACACTGCCCCTTGGAACACGTAGAACATGTAAACACCCCTTCCACTAACTTGTACTTGTGAGCTGAATGTGATACTGTATATTAATTTTATATTTGGTACACAATACAGGAAAGTTTAATCTGGCTGGAGGCAAGCCAGCAACAGCGAGCTCTGTGTTTGGGCCACTGCCTGGTGTTGCTACCGACGACCTCCCCTACACTGACTGGGAATATGGCAGTTGTTTTGCTGTGGCAGAAGGAGACAATCATCCCTGGTGGCAAGTCGATTTAGGATCGTTTTCTAAGGTCATTGAGGTTGCCGTGACTAGCAGGAGTGACTGTTGTCGTGAGTATAATGTTACGATCCAGTAATGATGTATATTACACCATATCCAACCAGATTAAAACCTCGACACCTGTAAACTTGTGTGCATTATTATGAAAATAGATGTGTATCATACTCCTACCTGTTGAAAAAGAGGGTTGCATTGCTCTGGGAAAATAATGGATGACTTTCCATCAAACGCAAACTTCACACTGATAAAACCGTCGGAACAGAAGAAATCAGTTATGAGTGTGACCTCCTATGGCGACCGGCCACGCAACATCCCCTCCTGGACAGGAGAACCTGTCGGAACACGCAACCCAGAAGTCGTCGCCATTGGTCAATGAATGCTGGCCCAAGTTCTTGCAACGTCTGGGGCTGATTCATTTGCTTTTGCACTCTTTGTCAAGTGTTCTATTAGCTTCAAGTCTTGGCAAGGGGACGGCCAGTCCATGGCATCAACTCCGGCGTCCCGTAAGAATTTGTGCGTCAGAACTGCAGTATGCGGTGTAGCGTTGTGATTTGAAGTGTCAGCCCAGGACCATATAGCATTCGTCACCACTCGCCTCTTTCCGTAACCTCCAAGAAGACTCGTCCCCGTCTCGATGCTTGTTATGTGCGAAAATACGACAAACCAATCAGAACGCGCGTAATGGTTGCAGTCCTTTGATAAAAAAAATCCCGACTACTTAAATCGTTTATGGCATTATCTTATTGTTTAAAAATTCATGAAATATATACATCGTCATATTGAAAGTACTAAGAACGTAGCTAACAGAATTGTGCTGTCTAACGTGATAAGAACCATGCGATTGACGGTGAGAGATTCAAACTTAGATTGTTTTAGATCAACTGGGGAGCTACATTTTTTATCAGAATTTCGAAGTCTACGAAACTCATATCGACAGCTATGTCGCACAAAAAGGAAAATTATGGGAAAATATGGTGAACCTGTTATCGTCTAATTCTAAGAACTCAAAGTCGTTTTGGAGCCAAGTTAAACGCCTAACAACGGATAAATCAACTGATATCAACTCTATATTGGCAACACAGTGGGTCGATTACTTCGAAAAATTAATGAATATAAGTCATGAGAATACGGATCAAGACCATGTGAGAGAAGCCAGTAAATTTCTTGAAAACCACGATGAACATAATTGCTGTGCAATAATGATACCATTAATAATACTCTGAACTGTGAAATCAAGCATAATGAAATTGTTGATGCCATTGACAATCTGAAGGACGGTAAATCTCCTGGTCCTGATGCAGTAAATCCAGAAATGATGAAATGTTGTAAAACTGAACTATTGCCATTTTTTCATGCATTGTTTGATAATATTTTGAACAGTGGCAATTTCCCTATAGAATGGGCTAAAGGACTGGTTTTACCGATTCACAAGAAAGGCAAGAAGACAGAGGTTAATAATTATAGAGGGATAACGCTTAGTGATGTCATGGGGAAATTATTTACGTTTATATTAAACAAGAGATTGACAAGTTTTTGTCATCAGTATGACAAGATTCCTGAGTCTCAGGCTGGATTCCGTGCTGAATATAGCACTGTTGATAATATTTTCAGTTTACAGTGTCTGGTCCAAAAGTATCTCTCGAAAACTAATGGTCGTTTTTACTGTTTATTCGTTGATTTCGGAAAGGCATTTAATTCCATTAATCGTAAATTATTGTGGTTCTCAGTTTTAAATAAAGGTATTCATGGTAGAATATTTACAGTATTATTGGACTTGTACTCCAAAGTTAAATCTGCTGTAAAACTGTCAAATAGTTCCATTTCTTATTATTTTGATACTTTAAGTGGCGTAACAGAGGGGTGTATTTTAAGTCCTTTGCTGTTCTCTCTTTTTGTTGTTGAGTTGGAAACTATGTTACAGGAATCGAATGTCCGAGGTAGATTTGTTGGTCAAGAGTTTCGTGATATTTTATCTTTATTTTATGCTGATGATCTGTGTTTGTTTGATGATAGTGTGAATGGTCTAAAGAGAAAAATAGATGTATTGGAGCAGTTTAGTATCAAATGGGGTTTGGATGTCAATTTAGATAAGACTGAAATTTTAGTTTTAGAAATGGTGGCAAGTTACGGTTTTCTGAAAAATGGATGTTTGGCAATAAAACTTTTAAGACATCGACCTATTATAATTATCTTGGGTTAACGTTTTCTAACAGGTTATGTTGGTCAAAGGGTATTGAGTTCTTGTTCAAAAAGCATCAAAAGCCCTAGTATCCGTTAAACAATTAGAGTGTTAGTTTCAGAATAGTTCTTCTTTAGTTTTATTCAAGATATTTGATGCTCAGATTAAGCCAATCTTACTCTATTCTAGTGAAGTGTGGGGTCATTCAAAGTTTGAATGCATCGAGCGTTTTAATGTTAAGTTTTGTAAATATGTTATTGGTGTAGGTAGTTATGTCTCTAATGTTGCTGCACTTTGTGAATGTGGAAGATATGGCTTATTTGTTGATTGTCATAAAAGATGTATTCAGTATTGGTTAAAGTTGCTATCAATGCCTAATCATAGATATCATAAGCAAAGCTATCCTCTTTGTAAATCTTTAGACTACTGCATTCGTGTTACATGGGCTTCAAAGGTTAAAATGTTACTGTTCTCTTATGGTTTTGGATTTGTTTGGATCTCTCAGGAAGGTAATTGTTCTTTATTTCTTAGTAAGTTTGTGCAAAGGGTTAAAGATTGCCACCAACAAGATGGGTTTTCTACAGTTTTTGAATCAAATCAGTTATGTTTCTATCAAGAATATAAATCTCTATTGACAGTTGAATATTATTTATGCACTCTAAAGCATCGTGAATAAAGAAGGCTTTTATTTTTACTAAGATCTGGGGAATTGCCTTTAATGATTAACAATAATAATAATAATTGATTTATAGAGCGCCTATTTCCAAAAGATATTGCTCAATGGCGCTATGAAGAGAAAAGATTGTAGACAATGTCTATGGAAAAGAGAGTTTGAACAGATGAGTTTTGAGGGCAGTTTTGAAAGCATCAGCAGATTCTATTTCTTTTAGGGTGAGTGGTAGAATGTTCCAGAGATAGGGGGCTGCAGCAGAGAACGCTCTTGATCCCTCTTAACGTTGGTAGACGTTGTGGTATTGTTTGCGATGAACGATATTGTAATTTATATATGAATGGATGTATAGAAGATGAATACCATTTTCTGTTAATATGTAAAGTTTATAAAGTATATTCCTGAAAATTTCTGGCAACATCCCTCTACTTATAAATTTAACATGTTATTAAGATGTGACAAATTGAATATCCTAATTAACTTAGCAACATTTGTAAAAGAAGCTTTAAGGTTAAGAAGTGCTTAAAAGGTGTATCTAACCATTTTGTCACTTGCATTATTATTTTTTGAGTTTTTCTACTTGGGCCTATGGCCTTTTTACGGAATAAAAGTTTGATAAGAATCATTCGATTGACGGTGAGAGATTCAAATACACGCACGTGAGTTTGTTGACATAACGGCTCTCATGGGTCCAACTGAGCGTATTTCTGGCAATCTTGCGGGCTTGTTGTGGTGATTGTAAGTGCGCTTCCAACAGTTTTTGGAATGTAATTATAGATCGCTTAGAGTTTCTAAACAGTAATATTATACCTGTATGTAACTAATCAGCTTTAATCATTAACATTGGGCATATATTTCAATTCTCTGGGAATATTTTAGTCTGACCTTTTTTGTGATCATTCATATATTTTTCAGCGAATTCATTTAAAATTCCACTTGGGGTATGACAGCAAGGTTACACGTACTTTCAGTTTGAGAATATTATAAAAGACATTTTTTGAGTTTCTGCTTTGGGATTTAATGTAGTGGGTTTTTATAACTTTTATTAGCATATTCAATAAAACAAATCCCATTTGTGATTATTAAACCCTTTTCAGAAATATAATTGGAAATATAAGGTGAATATCTGGTAATAAATACGTCAGAATATCTCTTTAAGAAATATGTTTTTTCTCTTCTTTTAGTTGTACCAAGCAGGTTTAATTCTTTAAAATAAATAAGCAAAAACAAAAACAGCAATACAATGTATGAGTACTTCGGTGATATTAAGATCCATTGGAATCAAACAGGAATAGAGTTATCGTTCCTGTTTGAAGTAGTTCTGATGTTCCTACGCCAATATGAAATCCTTCCAGAGGGGCACGAGTCGCTATTCGGCTTGTCCCGGAATAACAGGAGTTGGTCATGAATGGACCATGCAGCTACATGAATGCATGAAGAACTGGCACCCGGCTCTTCAGACTGTGTATCTACTCAAGCTTACAGGCCATGTTCACACAGCCTACATGTTGTTGTCGTGTGTATGGCACACCATGAAACTAAATAGTGTTATACCCTCATAAGTATTGGCAATAATGTCGGTGTCAAGTTTCTAATTTTGTTGATTATATATATCTACTTTCATGTGAGTTTAGTTTTACGCCTCACTCAGCAATACAAATGTATTCTACTTTTATTAGGTCTTACTAGTTCGTTGAACAATCTGTAAATGCCATGATCTTAGTAAATTCCCATGTGTCGATCATGTACTTCCATTCCAAATGCCTTAAAAGAGACATGCAGTGCAACGAAACTGGCGTGTCTTATTTCAACGAATGTCACACTATTTGAAATCGTCCTTTGTTACAGCTGAGAGACTACACGACTTCAAACTGGAGGTCTTCACCAAACCAGGCACCAGGGGTGCACTGTGTGGAACCTACGATGGTGCAATCGCAGAACCAGGAAAGACTTACACTGTAAAATGTACCCGACCTGTTAAAGGGCGGTATGTCCGATTGAGTGGAAAAAAGAACGGTGAGGGTGACCTCCTTCAGTTTTGTGAGGTCAAGGTGTTTGGTTATGCGTCTTAACCAAGGCTTATAAAAGCATGCGGACATATAGTGTTTTGTTGTATATGTTCTAGGCTTCTACTCTCCATGATGATGGTAGTAATGGTATCCCAATTATCCAGCTACAGGATGAGGTGAAATGGGGTTTACGTCGTACTTATATGACTCGCTCATATGACGACGTGCATACGTGTGTATGTGTATGTGTGGCCGCTTGCACTAGCCCACACTTTAGCTGGTTTTATAGTGCCTGCTCACTGAGATACCATGCCGCAGTGAAGCATGAATACCCCACTCAGATACATTATACTGACTCCGGGCCGACCAGTCCTTATTATACCAATTAATGCCGAGCGCCAGACAGGGACCAACAAGTAACATGTTTTAACGTCTTTTGGTGTGACGCGGACGGGGCTGGAACCCGCGACCTTCCGATCTCCGGTCACCTATATTCCCATCATGTTACCCCACGAGGCAGCGTGAAGCCAAGAAACATCGTGACAGAAAATGTAGAGGTTGTTGTAAGAACCGTTTTATGTCTTCATGACCTTCCATAGTTTACATGACATTGAAAGATCAACAAGATATGTGTGAAATATCTTACTAAAAAGTTAAAGAATTATTTTCACTTATGAGGTTTCGCGTGTTTACTATTGGTCAAGTTAATTCATAAATTGTACTTCCGTGTGTGAAATAATTGAAACCAACCCAGTCAAATGGCTAACCAATTAAATATGTTCCAATTTTATATTTAGCTGAAACATTCTTGAGTTTGGCATTAAACCAACTGCTTCATGTCGGTCTTCACATGAGAGATAACAAAGTCAAGCGACTACCATTTTCTACATATAGGAACCTGACAGAATGTCTTTGACTGCTCTTGAAGGGAAATATTTCATTTGAAGTGCAGAATATTTTGGACAGGAAAATGTGGACTTCATCTTCGATGTCGGGATCCATGCAATGTTCACAGCAGATGTTATAGTCGTACTGTTGTTTCTCCTTCCTGTATGCATGTACATTCTGAATTTACACAATGCACGTACCAAAGACTTGTCTTGGAGACAGGTAAGACATATTTCTGTTTTAAAGTCAGACTGAAATCCATAGTAGAATGACAGATAAGGTAGAAATCGACAAATGCCAATCCTGGATAAAGATATCCTGTAACCTTTTGAAAGTGCTGATAAATAGCTTCTCGTCACCAACTTGTTGTGATAACCAAGTCCATGCGAAACCTGTTGAAAAGAGCAGAGGTCTGACCTCCGACACCAAGTTATGTCTTCCATTATCGTCTGGAGATCTGAGGTGAGGTGAGGTGAAATTGGGTTTAACATCGTGCTGGAGAATATTTCGCTCATATGACGACGTGCATGCGTGTGTATGTGTATGTTCGGCTGCTTGTACTAGCCCAGACTTAAGCTGGTTTTATAGTGCTAGCCCACTCAGATACCATGCCGCAGTGAAGCATGAATACACCATTCAGACACATTATACCGACTCCGAGCCGACCAGTCCTTGTACCCATTAATGCCGAGCGCCAGGCAGGGACCAACAAGTACCATATTTTAACGTCTTTTGGTATGACGCGGTCGGGGATCGAACCCGCGACCTTCCGCTCTCCGGGCGGAAGCTCTAACCACTACACCACGGAAGCGGTCTGGAGATTTGAGAAGAAGATAGCTCTGCCTTGGTATATCTAAAGGAGTCAATTTGCAGTAGTTTCAACCAGTATTTGATTACTCTCATATATACACAAATATACTGCTGTGACCTGTTTCACCCACTATTGTTTTGTTTGATGCAATTTTCCCAACAGTAATGAATCGTTTAAGGAATGAGATATGGACCTTTTCAACTACTTCATTGCTTTGTGTTCCCCATATCTCGAAGTTACTATTGTTATTACTGATTGCTGGGGACGTGCAACCCAACCCAGGGCCACTGACCCATGACAACTTTGTCTGTGACCATTCATTGTCTATTTTCCAGCTAAATACTAGAAGTGTACGTAACAAGCTTTCTTATTTGAGTGAATTCTTGTCAGATCATAATTTTGTTTGTTTTACGGAAACGCACTTAGACGACAGTATTAAAACTGAAACGCTAATATAGGAAGATTTTCACGAGCCGTACGCAAAGACAGAAATATGTTTGGGGGTGGTTTACTAGTTTATGTTAATATAAGTCTATCTTTTAAGAGAATATCAGAACTTGAAAACATCTATGATGAAACAATTTGGATTCAGATATACTTACCGCAAAATTCGCTGTTGTTATGTAATGTATACCGTCCAGAGTATAATTCATTGGACTTTTGGGCTCGCTTAGATAATAGCGTTGAAAGCGCTCTTGATATGTCGTTTAAGATTGTCATTGTTGGTGATATAAATGAAAATCTCTTATCCGCTAGAAAACTTAATGTAAATGAACTCTTGGTTATGAAAAATTTAAGAAATGTTATATTTGAACCCACTAGAGTTAGCAAAACAACCAGTACTTTGCTTGATCCAGTAATTGTCAGTGAAGACATTAATGTTGTTGACAGTGGTGTTGATGAGTTTGATAGCAATATAAGTGATCACAGAGGAACGTATGTAAACATAAGTACACAGTTATGTAATAACATATCTTATAAGCGAGAAATCTGGTGTTACAATAAGGGTGATAATGGAATGCTCAATTATCTTATAGAAAATACAGAATGGAAAGATTTATATGATGGATGTTCAGATGTTAATGATGCTTGTTCACTATTTTATACCAAATTTACTCAACATGTGAAATCATGTATTCCTTCAAAAATAGTAACTATTCGTCCAAATGACAAACCATGGTATGACTCTAATTTGAGGAGAGAATCAGGAAAAAGAGACCGATTACGGAGAAAGGCAAAGAAAACTAAAAAAGAAAGCGATAAAAAAGCTTATAAACATCAGAGAAATAGACTAAACAACATGAAATGTTATGCGAAAGAAAACTATTCTAATATTAATAGCTACTTTTGGAATTATGCTGAAAATAAATCTTCATATTGGAAATTATTACGTTATATTGTTATAACTCGGGCTTTACTTCGCATATTCCTTCTCTCAACATGGAAATTTCTAAGAAAGAAATATCTGATGTATAAAATGTTTGCAGCTAAACAAAGCCTCAGGGCCGGATAGAATAAGTCATAAATTATTAAAGAACACCGTTGATTCTATATCTGAGCCTCTGTGTTTACTGTTCAATTTATCATTAAAACATAGTGTGTGTCCAAACATGTGGAAAAGTGCACATGTCATGCCAGTGTATAACAAAAGAGGCGATCACTCTATTGTTTCCAATTATAGACCTATTTCTCTTATAAGTTGCATAGGAAAACTATTTGAAAGAGTTGTATATAAACTCTTGTATAACTATTTCCATGTTAACAAACTTTTATATAAGTACCAATCGGGGTTTAAAGCAGGTCATTCAACTGTCCATCAATTAATTGAACTTTACCATCATATTTGTACATCTCTAGACAGCAAAGAAAAATATTGTATGATATTTTGCGAAGTATCCAAAGCTTTTGATCGTGTGTGGCACAAAGGGCTTGTACTTAAATTAGAGAAGTACTGTATTAGAGGCCAGCTTTTACAATGGATTTCGAGTTACATAAGTGATCGCAGTCAACACGTCTTTGTAAATGGAGCTATATCCAAGCCCAGGTATTTAACGGCTGGCGTCCCCCAGGGATCAGTACTGGGACCCTATTCATTCTTGGTCTGTGTTAACGATGGTTTATGCCCGGACTGTCGACAACAAGAAATAATCCACATAGCTTTCGGCCGTGGGAGCCGTGCCAATTAACACTTATCAGAGGGGTACACAAAGTCCGCAGTCTAGACTACCAGTTGTCCGACTTCCATTTTTAGTGGAAGCCGCGGTGGCTGAGCGGTCTAGGCGTCTGCCTTTGTGTGCTGGCGATTAGGTGCCTGAGTCTGAGGGTGTGGGTTCGAATCCCGGACGGGACTCAACCCACAAAAAAGTACTAGAATCTGTACTTTACTAAGAAAGTGTAATCCCAAATATAACATATGTTACATTTGACCACTTTCTAAATGGCATTGTGTATTTCAAAGAAATAATCCGTCCAAATTACTTGTCGACAGTCCGGGAAAAGGGAGGGGTGACTTCACTCCCACTGTTCTCGAAATTAACAAACCAATTAAAACAGAGTGTGATATATATAGTAGACAATATATTTATTCAGTCAGTATAACAACATGCATGTATCATGCATGTATCATATGTCACACAATATAACATATTTGTATATATATTTCATAAAGCTCACACAATATATTTGTGTGTGTGTTTTATATAAATAAGTGATTTCTGCAGGTGTATAAGTAATAAATATATAAAAGATGAGTCCAGTTATTTCTTCTTGCCAAAACTCCTTTATATCTGCACAAAAGTAATCTGAATTTTCAGCCAAGAAGAAGCAACTCTGACACATGGTCTGTGTAATGCAAGTCAGTAAGTCTGTCGGCAAGAAGGTCGGCTTTCAAGGATCGAATCCTAGCGTCGATGATTCGGTAGCGACGTCTACGGACGGGATTTTGTTGTGCCAACCTTCCAAATTATTGTTAGTTCTGTGTCCATCATTTTCAAAATGATTCCAAGTTGGCAAAATATTGATGATCTGTTATATATACCCAAATGCTAAATGTTTACAACAGCATTTCGATAATCCTTCTACTCCAATATCACAAAATAATTTGTAAGCTCTGTTTCTTTCCGGATGTTGTTGCATGTTAAACTCCAAAATGGTAATCCTTCCACTCGCATAACGTAAAATAATAGTCTGTTTTTGCAACCTTAATTCTCTTGCAAATTGTTAAAAAGACATTCTCTTTAATCAACTTAGTTCATTTACTCATGAAACGAGCATAGCTGTAGCCACCATAGCCACTTGCAAACCACTAAGCAAACATTCTCTTTCATTAATTAACACCGTCACGGTATGTTGACCACGCGATGTCGACACTCCGGTTTTTTTGTTTTGT